TTTCTCGATGAACCATCCGACCCGTTACACCATTGTCAAACGGATCTTAAAAAATCATTTCACAAGAATTATTCTCTTTAGAATATGTGTCAACAAAAGATACAAGTCACTATATTTAATATCATACTCTTATTCACAAAAATAAAATATATATTTTTCATTTTCTTATATCTAACAATTTAATTAAAACAAATGAGTGTTTAAATTTGTTTTGAAAAAATTTGCTTGGAAAAAAATTATTTGCATAAAGATATTTGAAATTTTTTTTTATAAATTAATGTAAATAATAAATAAGAATGATACTTTCGGGTGAAAATCATATGTATCTCCGGTATAAAAAAGTAAGTTCATCACTTCCGAAGATGAATTTTAATATTGTGTGTACTTTTTTTATTTACAATTTTTTATTTTTTATATTTTTTATGCGATATAATTATAATTACATTTATTAATTTTTATTGAAACTAATTAACTAATAAAAGATAAAAATAATTATTTTAAAATTAGAGAAACTAAAATTGATAAATTTTAAGGACAATTGGTAAATAATCCTTCTTCCCATTATTAGATTGAAATTCAGTCCATTTTTCAAAATGATTTCTCTGCAATCACTGCTTTACATATAATCTTACATTCAACTCCCTATTAATCTAATTTTATATCTACATTCAACGCCAAGCCCACACTTAATCCTATCGATCTGTTTTTTCGCGCGATTTTCTGGTATCTTCACAGCAGGCTCATCATCTTTTTCACTCCGAGAACAAAGGTATTGCAAGTATCCCTAGTTAGATTTTCCTTTTGTTCTATTTTGATTCTATAGGGCATATCATGTTCCGCATTTTTTGTGTTGAAAAGGGATGTCTCTTCTCTCCCTCTGCGCTACTACTTTCAGGTGAAAATGCGATGTTTTCTATTTTCGAAACGAAGAACTATGGATTTAAGCCAAAGAATTATGTCTTCGTTTCGATTCAGGTAGTTTCTCTCGTTTTAAATCCGTTTTTTTTTTTTTTTTCTTTTTTTCTATTTTCTCTTCTGGAATACACGATGTGAAAATTGGTGAGGTGAATGCTTGAACGATGCACTTCATATGTGATGTGACCATCATGACGGAATCGGACCCAATCATAATTCCTCCTGGACCAATCACTAGGAGCCGAGCCCGTAAATTTCAATTGGCAATAACAAAGTGTGCCAAACTTCAAATGGATGCCACTGCTGAACTCTACAACGACGATCAAAATAAACCATGCATTCTTCTGGAAATTGGATCACAAGTCCCAATGACCATAAGGCCAGGAGCACCTTACAAAGCATTGGACCTCCCCTAAGTTACTATCCCTAATTGAAGGGATCCCATGAATCAATATCCCCCGAATGAAGGAATACCATAGATCAAGGGATTACCAATAATCATGGGATTGCCATGAATTATGGGTCAATAATACTAAATAAGGCTAATTATAATAACTATTCCCTATATGATTTTATTTCCTTTAAGAGTGTACTTTCTTGTTTTTAAATTTTCATGGTTCCTCTATAAAAGGACCCATGATTATCATTGTAACATTATTCATTCCACAAAGAGATTTTATAAACTGGTTTTTTTTTTCAAGAGCGATTCTTGTGCATTTTTTAAGTGTAATCTTGAGTGATTCGGTTACAGCTTCATACCCCCAAATCGAGTTGTTTCGAGTGATTTGAAACAAGTCGTGGCCTCTCGAATAGTACTGGAACTATTCTTGCCTTAGCTTGTATTGTCAGCTTGTTTAGAGGATTGTGATACGTGAGCTTGATCTCTCGTGTTGCCTTCCCGACTACCTCTCAATTCAAGAGAGTCCAGTTTATCTCCATTAATATAGATATATATATATAGCCATCCATCCCTTACTTTATCCAAATCTACAATATTCTTGTTACTTATTCTTGTTGAATTCGATCCGAACTGTCATCCTTGGCAAGTTCGCATCAATATGTTCGATAAAATGTCTCAAAAAAATCTTTTCAAAAATCAAAAGAATTTATAAATTGTTGTACATAGTATTGGTTGAAATATGTGTTTTCAAATATTTTCATCTACAATTCTTTGATTTTGGATAATGTATTGGTGATTTTTAAAGTTCATACATACATTAAGCATAATAGTGTATTTTATAGAATAATTACTAGAACATTGTGATAATTGGTTTGTGCAGATGGAAGAATCTTGATGGCTTATGCTATATTTAACAATATTTCTTATAGAAATTTGGGACCAAATATTGTAAGTTATAGCATATTAATACGATGATGTGGTAACCATGAATTGCTAAGCGAGCTGAAAATCTTTTTTAAAAAGTAAAACAAAACAAACTATTGATATTGGATCAATAAATTGAAGTAAGTGGATTAGAATTTTTTATTTCTGAAGTTACATTAATTATTTTTTATCTGAAATTGGGGAAAAGAATTTGCAGGCTATATGATGCTCAATGCTTTTAGTATTTATATTGAATTATTTTAGGCAAAATTTTTACATTATCTGATGGTAAGAATTAAGAATGTTTCAATTTGTGACAATTACAATAACATATATATAATGACAACGTATTGTGTATGATTTTCAAGCATAGCACAAAATTCTGATATTATGTATGCTATATATATATTCATTAGATTTTACTATATCATTGACATCATATCTAGTTTATGTGCTTAATAATCTTTCGTTGATCAATCCTTAACACGTAAATATTATTCAATTGTTCTTGTTTTTTCTTGATGCAGGAATAAGAGAATTTTGTTTGTAACTATTAATGTAATCAAATCTCTCTCAAATCAATGTTTTTTGACATTATGTTGCACAATATAATTTATATGTTTATTTTCCACTATTTTTTTGTTATCATAGCGTTGATGCATTTGTTGTTGTTTCTAATTGTGTCACAACTATCTGTAAAGGACTAACACAAAGTTTTGAAGTTGATTTAGTTTTTCAATATTTGTCTTTACTATGTATACACATATATCTCTTCGCGATATACAATACAAGAGCTCAAATTATTATGTTAGGTGTCAATATATTTCAGAAGAGATGTATTTGTTCTATTGTCTAAATGATACTTGAAGTCCTAAGTGTAGATTATAATTCGCCATTTTAAGTAAGTAATACATTTGCTTTGCTTCTCAAGTAGAGGTTATCCAGACATAAGTATGTGTACACGGAGCATTTGAAATTAGAGTATAGGTACATAACAAACCAACCACGACATAAAGATAGTGTATATAGTTATGTGAATGAGTGACCCGGATATAAAACTTGACAATAGAGGTAATATGTTTGTTTTTAAGGTATTGTTTGTATTACAAGATATTTGATTTCTTACAGTGGGAGAGAATTCTCCAAAAAGAAATGCATAAGAAAAAAGCCTCCGTAAGTGAGACATTGCGGTTGAATACTACAAAAATTATACCAGGAACCAATAAATCCAGTATTGATGCATGATATAGATGTGATTGCTGAAATTCAGGCGGACCCAATTAATCCTCCTTCTTTGTCTGTCCTACCAGACCGTAAAAAAAAAAAAACGACGATTTGAGTCCCAACAACTAAAGCAACCACAAAAATGCGGTCGTTGTGGCCGTCTTGAACATAATAAAAGAAGTTGTAAGCAACGAGTAGATTAGTGAACCTTTATTTTTAGTTGTACATTTTTTTTGCGTGCTCAATATGTATTAATACAGTAGATATGTATTTAACGGGTATAATGTAATTCCTTTATGTGTCGATGGAATTTAACCTATTGGATTCGCTGGCATATATTATAATAGTAAGTGGTATGTAGCTCTATTGCGCATGTATATACTAAAATGGTGGAGGTTTGTAAATATATTATGCATGTATATTAATACTGTACTGAGGTATTAGTATATGGTGATGCTAACCTATGTAAACAAATGGTAAATATAATATTATGTCGTTCTCATAGTCTTTGAATTCAATTAATGGTAAACACTTAGAGTTCTATTAGTAGATTAAAACTCGCATACTAACCAAGGCATGTATAAAACGAAAAGAGGTATGTATATATATTAAAAAGGTATGTTGGTAAACGACTGAGGTACCCACCGATGCTAACATTTGTGAAGGAATGTCATATTATAATATCATGTTGTTCTCATAGTGTTTGAAATCTATTATTGTGTTAAACTGTACAACTATTACATATGCATCATAACTAAGTACTACTCTTACCAACAACACAACTAAGTAACACATTGTCTATTATTCACCTACATTGATCATGTTGTTAAATTTTATAAGCAATTTTTTAATCTTATAGATTAATATAATTGACTATGTTAAAGATAAATGCATCCCATGTATGTGTACTGCTAAAGATAATACTATGTTTCACTTAATATTTGAGATATGAAGTATTAGACCCCTCTGACATAAGTAAATTAACTCGGAGTATTTACTAACTTAATATAGGTATGTTATTAAAATAATTGAGGTTTGTCGTGTTTGACAAGAAGTATGTATCAATATAATGAGGGCATAAACCTTCGAAATACATGTCTATATTTTTTTTTTCTTTTTTAGGTGCACCATTAAGGTACTCAGATATCCGTGAATGCACTTGTGTTTATAGCAAATATTACTTCAATTATTGCAAAGTCTTGTAATGAATTAGTTTATTCTAATTTAAGAGCAGTATTCATAATTTTCTGGTTCGTTTATGTCTTCGTATAAAGATAACATTTTAACTAATGGGTAACATGTATATGAGCATATATATGTAGTTTGAAGGTATTTCGATCTAGTTAGACAAGTACATCGAGCCGTTGTGTAAGTACAACATGTGCATTATTGCAATTCTAATCATGTGAAGAATTAATCATACAATCGTTCACAACACAATTCATAGCATTACTTCAAATATTTAGTTTCACCAAATTCAACCCACAATTCAATCATTCATTCAATCTTAATACAATCTCATCAAATATGAGGCAAATCAAACCAATTCAACCAACTGTTCAATCCGAAAACACATTACCCAAATCAATCACAAATAACAAAATCCAAATCAATCCTTAATCCATCCAAATTCATTACAGACGTTCACTTATCTTGTGTTGTTCATCGGAGTCTACAGTTCGGAGGGCAAACGTTTTATTATTTTGGCTGTGGTAACTCTTCACATTATCAAATTCACCACCGATGCCACCAATGGGATGGATTGTCGGATTCGCATAGGTGTAACACTCAGCAAATATGCAAACCAAAGAACCGCAGTCGAGAGTGTCACCTTAATGCCGACATCTTACGTACTTGGGCGTCTCCCTCACCACGGGCCATAAGTGTACTGCATTTAGGTATAAGGATAAAAATCGCGTCTGCAAAAATAACACAATATATGTTCAGGGACGTGAACTTCGAGCTAAAGTTATTAACCAAGTCAAGAAGGCAGTGCCACGGCAGTCTCATCTTCGGGCAGTCCAGAAAATAGCCGAACGGAGTCATTTTGATAGCTCTAATATGTTCATCCAACATATGTTTCTTCAGTTTCTCCACCTCGTTGTGGAAAATTGGTAACTGGCTGATAACCGATTTGTATTCCTTCACTGGTCTGTAAATAAATAACATAAGTTCACATTACCAAAATCTCGGATTTATTTAAAAGTTTATCAAAATATTTTAGAAGTACGTAACAACACATTCTGAGTACACAGTAGTCCCCTAAAAGTAATTACTTAGAAAATTAGACCTAAAAAAATTCAACTCGAGGTACCTAATAATACCATATTTGTCAACCCACAAATATGACTAATTACCGTGCAATGAAACAAAAAATAAAAATATGCAACTCCGGATAACTAAACAAAATATACACCTACAATATTAACAAAAATCACAGATTAAACAAATGAAGTCACCCGAAATCGGTGCCAAAATCAAACACTCAACTGTCTACATTGGCAAAACATACGAAAATTTCAAATCCGATTAACAAACACAATTACACCGATCACCCAAGACTCCTCAATACTTAACCGAGACATACAAACACGAGACCAAGGCTTACACCTTAAATAACTGAACAAAATACGGTATAAAATACTAATGTCAACAAAATCAAAAATTAAAAAAGGTCCGACCAGACACTTACTTATTCGAGTTTGTCCTGAGGAATGGGAGCATGTGGGTCAGTCTTTTTCTTCAATATTTTTGCACTGATCGGTCGCTACTTGATCGGTCCTTGAAAATGAAAGATGTAGGGTCTAAAACAGGGTTGAGGGGAGTTATGGGAGGCTTTCTTCCTCAATCCTGGTTAAATAGTGGGTAATTATTTTTTTTATTAATTCGCAAAAAAAGGTACACGGTATTTATCTAGAAGTATATAAGGTTACAATGAAAGTAGAGCGTGAAGTAATATAGATATATACTACAACAGTGAAAGTATTGATCAGTCTATTTCGAGTACATGTTGCATATACAATGATGATGAAGGGGATAATACAAATGAAGAGCTATAATAAACTTAATTCATAAAGTAGAGACGACAGTCTAATTGATTTATAAGATCATCTCAAACTCATTACTTCAATTTTCACTCTAAAAAGTATATTATTTTATATAAATTTTTATATTTATAAATTACATCCCAACTTTAATTTATTTTTACAATATAACCCATATATATAATTATACATAAGATAAAATTATATATCACTTTTTAAAAAATAAAATTATATATTATTCTTAAAAAAATAAAATTATATTACTTTTTAAAAAAATAAAATTATACATTATTTTTTTAAAAATCAAATTATACAATATACTCTAAAAAATAACAAAAATACAAAAATACACTGTACATCGCTGTAAAAATAAAGGAATTTAGGAATGAATTGGAGCCCATTCCCCCAATAATTTTAGCACAATCCATTATAAAAATGCAGTCAATTGGAGTTGTTTTAATAAGAGCCGAATTGCAAGTAGATTTTTCTGATAGGATTTTACTTCAATTTTCCCTAAAATTTACCCTAAAAATTAAACAATTTTTTTAAATACCTTGTCAATTTCGGACATGGCTTTGCTTCTTTGTTAAACCCTAACACTCCTCAACGGTCAAAAATCAAAAGTGCAGTGAAGTTCCCCCAATGACAGACGAGAAATCCAGCTCCTCCAAACCATCGAGCCATCACCGCTCAGAATCCCCGGAACGCCCTTCCAAGGTGGCGAGGTTCGACGCTGGCGGCGAGGAAGAGGACGGATCCGAGGCCGAGGGAGAGTTTGTTGAGAAAATTATGATTCCCAAGCCTGGAATGCAGAGATACTTAGTTGCGGTTGAGTACATCGGCACTCGTTTCTCCGGCGCGCAAAAGCAGCCCAACTGTAGAACTGTCGTCGGTGTTCTAGAGGTGATTCTTTTATTTAGTTTTATTCTAATGGTCGATGTCCTGTTATGATTAAGCCCTAATAAATTTTTAATTTTTATTAATCTGAATTCACCTCTTCTTTTGGTTGAACTAAGGAGGCGTTTCGAAAATTTATCGGGCAGCCAGTTTCGATATTCTGCTCGAGTAGGACAGTGAGTTTTCGGTTCTATAAAGCTTGATTTATTGTTGCCAACAGGCAATGGCGGTCTCTTTTTGAATTTAAATTTTAGGATGCAGGAGTTCATGCCTTGTCAAATGTGTGCCATGTAGATGCTCAGAGGATCAGCAAACGAAAGCCTGATGAAGTGGTGAATATCCTCTCTTTTCTTTATGCAGTTTGTTGTTTGATTGTGTTTGGTTAGTCTAACAAGGAATAAATTCCTCCTGCAATTGGTAGCAAGACTTGTTTGTCGATAGGTCGGTTGAGGTTGTCAAAACAGCAGTAGCAGATGTTGAAGGGTCATGAAAACCAAGGAAAAATGGAGGGGATGGGGGGAGTTCATATATGTTCCATGAGTTACTTTTACCTTCACTCTTTTGTTGGATAGTTAGTTGTATTTGTGGTAAAATTACATATTTTGTCTTACAAGAAAAATCCACTTCAAATTTAGTTCCAGTAGCATACTTTTAAGATTTTTTTTTTTTTTTAGTTTTTATAGTTTACGGAATATTTAATTCAAGGAAAAATTGTGGCAGTCTTGATACTACCATATTGTTTGCCATAACAATCAACATATTTCATTTATGCGGTATTCAAATTATGAGACTGAAATTAAAAAATTTTCTTGGGGGAATCAATTTAGAATGATTGTTATTATTTACTTATTTTTGTGTGTGATAAAGCTTGCTAGTTTGCTTTGTTTTGTCATTGAGAGATTGCATCCACACATAATTGTAACTTTGAAGCACAAGGCATGACATGAATTGTTTTATTTATTTATTTTTTTTACCTAATTTTCCATTTAGAGAAGTTAAATTGCTCACTTGTTCCCCATTTTCGTGTTCAGTTACCGCCTCATGAACCTTCAGTGGTCAAGAGAGCTGTCAATCATTTCTTACAGGTTTTATTTCCTTCTTATATGCACTCTTTCATAGTGATTTTATCATTAAGCTGTTGACACATTTGCTCCAAGAGAATCTCCGACAGTGCAATGTAATCTTTGACTAGATTTAGAAACATTAAAGCTAAGCTAAAATTTTGGATAGTAGTTATGTGGGCTTGGCTGTGGTTCTTACATGAATAGACTATAATCTTGATCTGTGTTGCTAGGAGTAATATCTAAGGTCATGATGGGAAGCACTAGACAATTTTGATCTATTGTTTTAATAATTGCATAGTGCAGTGAGTTATTAATGGGTTTGTGTTCTATCATGAACATATATCTATAAAAATGAAGATGTGAATAGAAAAGTTATGTGAGCCGAGCTAATCGAAAGTGTGGCTTGTTATAGTTCCAACTCTACCTGTCTCATTAATCATAGTAATGAATTGAACTTGAGCTTGAAAAATTATTGAGTCAAATAGGCTTGTGATATGAAGTGCTCACAACTGAAGGTTTACTCACGACGAGGAAAGAAGAAGCAAGTGTGCCTTGGATTAATTGTGCCGATGGTTGCACAAATAGATTTCTTTATTATTAAACTTAGCTTATTATTTTATTCCTAATAAATTGTTAGCCTAGTCGGCCTAGGTCCGTAGTAGTATTGATCTAGTATTTAAGGATTATTTGGAAACATTATTAGGCATCTGGATTCACACTAAATTTCATGACTTCTTTTTGGCTCAGGAATAGCAGTTCTTCCTTGGTTATAATACAATCTAGTTCTTTGATTTCTTAAATTCTCGGAACATATCTCCGTTGTTTTTGCTCGGAACAACCCTGGAATGGGCAGCTTGCCTGCCTTGGACTGAGTTATGATACAACACCTCCTTTTACACTGAAGCCGCTACCACTCTTTTTCTATTGTCTATGGCCGACCACCACCCACACTGCATAGCTTCCTGCAACATCTGTAACACCACTTAAAGCATGTTCCACACCGTATGGTGCAGAGATCCATAGTTCATCGTTGCGAGCTCACCTTTAAGATAGATGACTTAGTATTCTTGAAGGTCCGACCCTACCACCAAAATAGCTTGCGCCCATTCACCCATCACAAGTTTATGCCTTCCCATATCCTCGCCGCATGGTAGAGGTCGCATATAACCTCGATCTCCTAGCCACTAGCTGTATCTATCTTGTGTTTCATGTGTCCCAACTTCATCGAGTGTTGAGCAATCACCCAATCAAACCTTATTTACCTGATACCCAAGAGGTCGAGCTGCTGTCAATTTATGATCCTGAAGCTGTTTTGGACAAACGAATAATCAAATGTACCGGAAGTATGGTTCCTCAAGTCCTTGTCCAGTTGCGCGGTCTTCTCTCAGATGATGTGACTTGGCTCGACGAGGTGGAATTTTGCGCTTTGGAAGTTCTCAAGAGAGATATAGTTGATACAAAGTGGGCATGGCTGAAGGTTTACTCATGAGAGGGGAGAAAGAACAAGTGCGCTTTTAATTAATCATGACAATAGGTTGAACAACTAGAGTTCTTTATTAATTACCTTAGCTTATTTATTTATTTATTCCTAATATATTTTTAGCTTAGTTAGGCCATCCATAGTAGTATTGACCTAGTATTTAAGGATTATTTGGAGACATTATAAGCCATCCTAGATTCCCTTCAACTTCACGGTTTTAGCTTGGTTCCTTGGTTATTAATAAAATCTAACTCTTTGAAATCTTAAGTTCTTGTGCTATCAGCTCGACTCAATAAGGCTTGGTAAGGTAAACTCAATTTATACTTTTAATACATAAGAGATAAAAATTTGTGCTCAATCCAAAATTAAATTATAATGAGCGCGAACTCAAGTTCGTTAAGTAATTAAGCGAGCTTGACCGTGGCTTGCTAAAAGCTCGGAGACTAATCCAAAACTGAGATATTTGACTTGACTCAAATCACCACTCTAGATATGAATAGATTCGACATTATTTTTATTCAATCTTTGTAGAGGCTAGACTTGTCAATAACTCTTATCTATGTGTATGTTTGATTTGTTGTTCTCCAGAAGAATGATGGTGATATAATGGTGGTGGATGTTCGGTGTGTTCCTGCTGATTTCCATGCTCGATATAAAGCTCAGGAACGCACGTAGGTATTAATAAACCTTGCGAATTGGTAATTTCTATAAAAAGTTTAGATAGGCATTTGCTCCTAAAATACATTTCATTCTTTTGAAGTTGTGGAACAAGTTGGGCGAGTTTTATATTTGGACAATTTCGAATCATGAGATATAAAGTAAAAAATAATAGCAAGCTAATAAATATAATTGAACGGCCTGACTGCTTTTGTTTGATCATTCAGGTTATTCATTCGATCTTTCGATTGTATGCATCATAGATCCTAAAATTTTTGAATTCTGTCTCAATTATTTTGTTCTAGGTACTTCTATAGACTGCTGTCAGGTTCAGAACCTCTATCAGCTTTTGAGAAAGATCGAGCATGGCATATTCCCGAGGAACTTGATGTTTTATCTATGCGGGTTGAGTAGCCAATTACTGTAACTGTCATTTTCCTTTCTGACTACCATTAAATTCTTTCCATCATTAGCAAATTATTTCTCTTTGTACCCAGAAAGCATGCCGATTGCTCGTCGGACGTCATGATTTTAGTTCATTCCGGGCTGCTGCATGTCAGGTTTGTTTTTTCTTCCCAGGATAATAATCTTTAGCAAATGGCTCCCATTTATTTGATCTCAATTTGTTGAATCTTTCTCCAACATTTATTTTAGTTCCTATTAATAGAACCTACGGATTGACAGGCTAAATCGCCGATAAGAACTTTGGAGGAGCTGACTGTTACTGAGGTTGCTTCAAGCCCATATTTTCCTACTATAATGGAGAGGACCCACTATGATGGCAACATGGAAGGTACATTCCCGAGCTCAGAGGTCGATACTCCTGACTCTATGCTCAAAACACAGAATTATGGCCAAGAATTTGGTGTAAGGAGAAGACACCATTGCGTGGTAGTTACTGCACGGGCTCGTTCCTTCCTCTACCATCAGGTTTTTCCTTCACATTTTATCAAGTTTGTCCCGTGCGCACGCGCGTGTTTCTTTCTTCCCTCTCCTAAATCTCATTTTATTATATTCATGGAATGAGATTCTTGTTACGCAGGTTAGATTGCTTGTCGGGGTTCTGAAGGCCGTAGGAACGGGCAACATCTCGGTTTCTGATGGTATGAATGTATAAATAACACTATAAACTTTTTGATATGTATCAGTGGACTTATAGTGACTGTATTGCTGCTGCTTATTGTGATTCAGTTGAACGAATATTGGAAGCGAAGGATGTCGCAGCTGCAAGTCCAATGGCGCCGGCATGCGGTCTCTACCTTGGACATGTCAAGTACGATCTCCCTTCGAGCTAGTTTTTTCATGCATTGAAAAGGAAACACGCAAACAAGCATTGCCGAGTAAATTTGGATTAAAATTTAATGGTTTAGATTAAACAAGGGTATGATAGTTTTTTTAATTTAATTTTTAGAGTGCGAAATTTCAAATTAATTTAGGATTAATTTCTCCCATTCCTGCTCGTACCACTTATCTTTCTTTGAATCATCACCAATTTCTTCTTCCAATTCCAATTGCCGGAGCCCTCTAGCCGTGTCGCCGACAACTGACATCTCTCTCTCCTTTCTTCTGCTCTCTCCACCATCGATTACAGTCACCCCCTTCTTCCATTCTTTTCGGCAACCATTATGCCTCATCATCGATATCAATATCCAAATTTTGTTTGTCATCGTAGTCGTTGTGAATATTGTAGTTCCGTATGCTTAACACTTCAATTAAAAATGTGCAAATACTGACAGATAAAATCCAAAATGCTTACAGTAAATTAAGTAATAATATGTTTTTTGGTTGCATGTAGTATATGATTTAGATTGAGAATGAAAATACTATTGCTCATAAAAGTAAAATGAAGTTGGTTAAGGATTGGAAATGACTATGTAGGATGCTAAAAAATATCAAACAAGCTTATCAAATTTTGTGTCTGTATAATATAATATGAATTGTTTCCTCAAAATATTAACCAGAAGAATGAGAAATTATTGTTATACCCCTAAGTCAATACAAGCCATTAGATTATAAAATACTCCCTCCAGCCGTCGTCCCAAATATCCTGTCATTTAATTTTTAATTATCCTATTTAATACTACTATCCACCTAAAAATTCGTGTCAAAAACAAATATTGCACCTTGTTTGGGATGGAGTATAATCTAATAGTTATTAATCAATCGGCAACATGTTAATTAGTGACTATCAGCGCCCAATGCCACCCCATATATGTATGAACATTGCATGTATATTTGGGCTCATTCAGCAAATAAGAAAAAACACAACCCAACAAAGAAATGCAGAGAGCTAAAAGACACCTTCAAGAATGTAAAGAAAGAGGCAATGAGGGGTAAGGGCAACTTCACTAGGTTTCGATCTGATTACTTCTTCAACCACGAATACGAACTTAAAACTGTTCTCTGAGTAACAAGGAAAGGTGCTTAACAGAGTTCTATAGGTGCCGTCATAATATAACAACTATTGCTACACTCAAGAACCACGACTGGCAGTGGTAGGGTCGAATGATATGACCAAATAATAGACCCCCTCCATTAGTTCGAAAGATAAGTGAACCTAATGCAATTGACAACACCTGATACGATACGAGAATATGTTGTTTAAGGTGGGAATCTCATTACCTAGTTAGGCTCTAGTCATCTTAATCTTTGGCATCGCCTTCTTCATTTGGCGCGCACGGTCTTTGGCTTCTTTCTTGCGTAGCGCCTCTGCGCTCAGCTTTGCTTCGGCTTCTTCCAGTTTCTTCCTCTGTTCTGCCTTCTTTTTCTGCAGTGCTTCTTGCCTGGCATTCTGGAGTTCTTTGTAGAGCTCTTGAGCAACCTTTGATCGGGCTGATTCTGTTTTGGATCGAGCCTGACAAACAACTCAGTTTTTAGAAAGTTACCTATTATGTATCAATTAAATGGTCCAAATATGGTATAGTTAGTTACTTACGTGCGAGCTGAGCCTGTATTTCCCGACTAGGTCGATGTAATAGGGAACTAGGGCGACCAGTCGAGTCATGTCCGCCATTTTATCAACATCAGGTAGAGCAAACTTGAACACCAGCATTTTTTTATGTGACCCCATGTGTTGATCAGAAAAGTGCATTGAGATGAAGCCCCTTCCAAATTTCTCGAAAGCTTTCTCGCCAAAAACCTTCATAAATTCCGAAGAAAAATATCATTGTGTACTCTACATGCAAAGGGTGGATCCCTTATAAAAGATGCAAATTTAATTCACATTTGTCGCAAACAGCATACGACAATTTGGCCTTAAATTCAAGTAGCTTGTTCCTTCGGTTTCTTCCTATTAAGTCTCCATATTTTCTAGTAAAATTATACGTTTTCACACGAAACATCATATCATATCATTATTTAAACTAAAATCCAAACCCCCAACCCAAACACAAAAAACCCAAAAGATCATTTTAATTGTTGAGATTAACAAAATCAATGATGGATCTAAAATTGATATGGTTCCGAATACGACAAGTTATTCAGCCAATCCCGATATAAAAAGTGCGACGCTGTCGTGTATACTTCATCCTATGAGACATTCTATCAACAACAAATCCTTAAGATTGACTCTATAAATGCACACAACAAATTTAATCAATACCGAAAAGCACATATTGACAAAAAGAAAAGTGCGGGCGCAATTACCTGATCAAGCACAACATCATTGATCAGATCTCCGGCAACCTCCTTCGACTCTGACACCACTTGCAGCTCCTCAGTTACCCATTTTCTCCCATTAGGTGGGGTAACTAATGCTGCAAATCTCTGCAAGTCTCTAGTCTCCTTCTGCATCGTCTTTGCCAATTTCTTCCTTGCCAATGCAAAAACCACCTGATCCATGGCATCATCGTTCATATAAACCTCAAAAGTAATCTCGTCCTTGCAAGGCACGACCATATTGTAGAGCTTCGAGATCAAATCATGCCTGCTCTTGAGCTCCATTGTGGCCAGCAATCCCGAGCAAAACCTCCTACCACTAGCATAGAACTTGAATACATTCTTAGCTTCCTGCAATAGCAATGGCGAGTCGTCCGTCTCCCCAACTCCTAACAAACTGAAATTCTTATCGAATATAGAGTCTTTGGTAGCGAATTTACTGGCCCAAGCTAAAGCTAGATTCTCATTCTCTCTTTTCCCAGTGAAATAATTTACTGTGAACATAATTAGAAAAGAAATGCACACGATTTCAACCGTGTAAGAGCTGAGCTTCCTCTCGATCTTCTCATCGGCTTTCACGTCCTTCTCCGAGTCGGATTCAGATTCGGAGGCGGCGGCGGCGGCGGCAGGTTCGGGAAGCACGTCATTCTCAGATGGCGGATTCAAGGACTCAGGAATTCCTTCGAACTCATCCTCATCCCAATAATCGAAAGAAGACGACGTCGAAGCCGGCTTAGGGTTCTGCTCCGACTGTGCCGCATGAATCTGCTGCCGGAATCGATCGGAATCGGGCGGTCCGTGGTGAGATTCTGGAGTTGGAGTAGAAAGAGAGATCGGTGGCGGCGGGGATCGGAGATTGGAAACGAATTCATCGCCGCGGTCGAAATCTTCATCCTCATCTGCATCGAAACCCTCGAAGTGTAGGTCGGGGGTTGTGGGGGCGGCGGAGAGGTGTTGGAGGAGGAGTGAGAAGAGGGAGAGGAGAGCGAAGAGGTAGAGATAGGTGTCGCCTCTGGGGAGGAGGAGAGAGAGAGGAGCTACAAGGAGAGAGGAAGAAGAAGAAGATCGCCTGTTCGCCATTGATGGAACTGTGCGTTGATTTGATCTCTACACCAAACCAAAAGGCTACCCAAAATATACGGCCATATATAATATATACATTTATATTTTTTTATTTGAATTTCCAAACGGGCCGGGTGACCCAGATCGATCATGTTTAAGCTGGATGGGCTATTTTAACGGGTCGGGTAAACAGCCCATAATACTTCACTAATGTGGCCGGCCGGACCAACTCTGTCTCTAAAGACTAAAGATCAGGCAGCTACTCGAAAGTCTCCACTGGGTATACTTCGGTCGAATTTAATACTCTGAAAACCAAGTCCGACGGAAAAGTCATACTAAACGAACCATGTGTGGCAGATTACCTGAGACGTTGGGTGTTTGAACCCATGATCTTACGGTCACAAGTCCAACCCCTACACCACCGGGTCATCCTTACGAGACCACTTTTTTGTAATGTTAATTTAGGGTGTGATCCTTTATGATTCTTCTCAAAATTATTTATCAATTTTTTTTTTCAATATTAAACCAAATACTTATTTTAATTTGAAATTTTTACTATTTAAATTTCAACTCAAAATCCAAACTCCCAAACAAAATATCTATTAAATATTTATATTTTCTTCCAAGTACTTACTATTGTATTATTATTTTATAACTTTCGGAACATACACTAGTCACATTTAAATAGACTTGATCATTATTTTGGTACCTAAAACTTTCAGAATGTACACTAAACTTACCAAGAACATAAGTAATTCATCAAACACAAATTCATGGCATGGAGACCAGTTGCACAGGTACATCACCTAATTCAATAGTTCAATATTAATACACAATCTCAATCCGAGATAATTGTATCACAAAAAAAAATGTTTTTTTTTTTTTTTTTTGTTTTCAAATGATAGAAACATATAAGTTAAATTTTTTAGTGCCGAAAAAAGAATTAGCAACATTCATAATAATATTTATTTGCACGTTCCTTCAAGAAGAAATTTTATAGACTACAACATAATGTTAGTTCTTGGAACGTCATATTATGAACCTTGAAAACATCTTCGTAAATACGTATGTGCATCAGTGGATAATGCAAGGGTCCAAGTCTAAGATTGTGCATACTTAATAGATGTTGACGTTTCAAAGTAATTTAAATTATTCCAACAAAAAAAAAAAATATATTGTTTAATATGAGCCGAATGAAGTTGAAGTGCATAGCATGCTATTTTTCCGTAACAAGTCAGACTTCAAACATAAAAATGACAACTCAATTTGTTCATTGGCATGTCTATCTAATTGAGCCTTATCAAACAACAAAAGATTAACCAAACCAATAGAGTTCAGTGCAGATACAAACTTTTATTCTCAATATGTCTAAACTTCATTCAACCTATAGTTTTTGCCAACCGATGATTCAGTATAAGTTCGAAATCGAAGAATGGTAAATCTAAATCGAAATCGCTCAAATCACCCAAATCGAAATCCAAATCGAAATAGCACGAATCAAAATTCAAATCAAAATTGGAATTCCAAATCAAAATCGAATTCACCCAAAATCTTGATTTTTGAAAAATAAATTTGTTGGTCGGCTTGTACAATAGATGATTTCATGATAAAAAATGTACTAACTTTTTGACGATTCGCCAAAAAAAAAAATCGAGGTTTAAGAGCGGTAGATTTTGGAATATTTGGGGAGTTGAGCATATAAGAGAGGGAGAAAGAGCCTTCGAATGCCTCGTTGATGCCTCAACTTCACGAGACTGTGTTCGGAGGCGTCGATATTCTTGCCTCGAGTATACGGTCATTGCATCTTGAGGCGTCAGGGTTTGAACCCATGACCTCACGGTTACACGTCCAATCCCCCCACCACTGATTATCCCTTACGGGACAACAAAGCCTTAATTCTGAATGAAATTCTGAATGAATGAATGTGTGCCGTTTTTTTTTTTTTTTTTTTTACATGAAATTGCATAATGTTGATTTATTTTTATATTTCAAATAAAATAATATTATTCTTGCTCAATTATCAATAAAAGTATATTTTTTAAAAATATACATAATTTTTTTAAAAAAAATTAAATGTCAAATTAAAATCAAATAGAAATTTACTTGTAGAACTTGGAGCAAAAAATAATAATAGTCTCAATCATTTTTTTTTCTTTTAATCAAAAATATTTTTCCAAAATTATTCTTAAATTATTTTTTAACGAAATGTGGTACAATTACTATAATAGAAATTGGAGTGATGTTTGATACAAATCGTAACCGTGTTTGATGTAGAAGTATTTCAAATACGGTCATTATCTAGTCCAATCCACTCAATTAGTTTTACGTTACCTATTCTCTTGAAAATTTAGAGGATTAAAAAAATGATGATTTATTTCTTTTGATAATTATTTTAAATAGGTTTTTTTTTAAAAAAAAAAAAAAATTTGATAGGGATCATTATAAATTTTTTCAAAAAAAAAAAATAATAAATAAAATTTTGAGCAAATCTCATTCAATATCACAATTATCAATTTTTGTCCATTAAAAAAAAATTATCAATTTTAGTTCCACTCAAATGAAAATTTATCAATTTTGGTTCAAGCCAACAAGGCCGTGTTGACCCTATATTTCTTAATACCGTTGTGTTCTGCCTGTGTTCTGAACACAATAATGTTTCTGCCCATGTTCCAGCACAACCATGTTCTGTTCTTGTTCATGTTTCATGTTCATAATTATGTTTTCAATATAATCATATTGTAAGTCATATTTATTATTATATTCACTTTTTGGTTAAAATTATTTGATATAAATATATATTTATAATTCAACAAAAAAATATTTTTACAATTATTTCATAATATAAAAAATAATCAATTTTAATATTTTAAAAATATATAAAAATAATAATATATTAATATATATTTTTAATAATATTCCATCTGTCCCATTTACCATGTCCACATTGCCTGTTCATCCCTATCCCATATCACTTTCCTTTTCTGGAAAATAATTACACACTATTTTTTAATTTAATTTTTTTTAATTTTAATTAGTTATCTTAATCTTAATTTATAATTATTTATATTATATGATAATTATTTTTACTAATACATTTTTAATTATCTACTGATTATACTTATCCTAAATTCTTTTGTCTATAATAATCCAGACATCCAACATGGGACAGATGAAGTATTATTTTAAAATATTATTTTAAATAATAAATTTAATTTATAATTTATAAAAATAATTAATAATAATATTTTAAAATTTTTACTATAAATTTTTAAAATATATATAATGATTATTAAAAATATATATATTAATATATTATTATTTCTATATATTTTTAAAATATTAAAAATTAATTATTTTTTATATTATCAAATAATTGTAAAAAATATTTTAATTGAATTATAAATATATATATATTATATCAAATAATTTTAAACAAAAAAGTGAATAATAATAAATATGCGCTGCAACATGATTATATTGAAAGTATGGTCTGCGTTAAAAATATGGACAAAAATAGTATTGGCTGTCTGGGACGCCCATCTGGGACGCCCAGTCACTTTCCACTACCGTGTTCAAGCCAACACGATCGTATTCAGTACCAAAATTGATAATTTTTTTTAATATAACTAAAATTAATAATTATGATATTAAATCATACAACAATGATTTTTGCTCTAAAATTTATTGCAACTTAATAATGGTGGGAAAAAAGATGCGGTGAAAAGTCGGAATTGTCACTCAAATTATTATATAGACAGAAAGACGAGGAGCAACCAGAACTTTTCCGTCTCACAAAATAAAAAATCTAAAAAGGATCGATCTTTGTCGTTTTAAGATTTCCACAGACGATCGATTTGCCGATGCACGCGGCCATGGCGGTGGCTTCTCCGGCATATGCTTACAGTTATCGCGTCCGCCAGACCCTAGATCCATCTTGCTCTCCCTACTCTTCCGCCGCCTCTCTGATTCGCCGTCCTCCTTCGCCCCAGGTTCGTCTCCGCGAGTCGGACGTATTTTGAAATTGTGCGGGCGACTTAGGGTTTTGGATTGTTTGGAAACTCAACTTTTTCGGGATTTCTGCGAATTATGATTTGTATACTGATTATTTCTGTAGGCTTCGAGCTTCTTCGGCGGTCGGATTTTGCTTTCCAGGAGGATTAATCTGGCGTGGAGGACATCGTCGCACCGTTCGCGGTATGGTTCGCGCGCCGTTCCTCGGGCGCCAGGTGAGCAATTAGATTTGCGTTCCTTCGATTTATATGAGAGCAGTGATTAGGAAACGATGAAATGGTGTGTCGGTTTGAACTTTGAAGCATTTGAATGGTGAATATTTGTTGTTTAAGCTTTTTCGCATTATATTGATGAATCGAGTTATCCATGTGTGTTTCAAATTCGTTGGATTCCATATGAAACTGCTATTTTGACATCGACCTTTGTTTCAAAATTTTTAGTGAAACCTAACTTCATGCTGTGGAAAAGTTCATTTATTCATCGTTGAAATATGCAGTATGTGAGTTTTGGATTCCAGGAACTTTGTTGCAGTGATTTTGTAACTTATATCGACTATAACTTGATGTTGAATGACTAGGTTTTAGATCTAGGGGATGTTTTGTTAAGTGATTAGAGTAATTAGATTATATTATCCAATCGAATCTAGAATTATGTTGAATGGATAAGTCCTGTGCACGGTAAAAATTAATATCATTTAATCCTACTACAGATGGGAATTACATAATAATTCTGAGAGTTAACATAAACAAAGAGTGTGTTCACTTCAGGTTTTATTCCTATATGATTCCTCAAAAGTACTACCTAAAAAATAAAATATACTCCCTCCGTCCGTCTCTAACGGTCACATTTACATTTTGCGTCATTGTCTTTAATATTAAAAATATCGTATAATTTTTTGTACAAATGTTCTTTTATTAGTATTATAAGACACTAATGTAAGTATTTTTGCAATTTTTTCTAAATTTGTACTATGTTTTGATATAATAATTAATATTCAAAGATCAACACACAAAAAGTTAAATGAAACCCTTAGAGCCGGACGAAGGTAGTATTAGTATATGCTGGTAACAATGAAAATAAACAAAAACACACAAAATATCATTCTCTATAACACTTTTATGATTTTTTATGCTTCACAACAAAAATACTTAATACTATAAAGTATGAACACTAAATAGACATGCTCGAAGCATTTGTGGCTTTAGTCTATAGGATAATATTGCAATATGTAACATGATGTTGAAGATATGGTTTTAATGCTGTGTAGTTATAAAGGCGGTTGCTACTCCCGATTCAGCTGTGGAATTGCCACTAACGGCAGAAAATGTTGAGACTGTGCTGGATGAAATCCGACCTTATCTCATTGCTGATGGGGGCAATGTTGCATTGCATGAAATCGATGGAAATGTTGTGAAATTAAAGTTGCAAGGGGCATGCGGGTCGTGTCCGAGTTCTGTAATGACAATGAAAATGGGTATTGAGCGTCGTCTGATGGAAAAGATCCCTGAAGTTGTTGCTGTTGAGTCTATTCCTGATGAAGAAACTGGCCTGGAGCTCAATGAAGAAAACATTGAGAAGGTAAACAACTGTTTCAACTCTTGTTCGTGTTCCTTTAATGATCACAAATTCAATGCACTGCCAAGTATCGTCTGAATTCCATGTCCAAAAAGATAAATAAAAAAAAAAAATGGAAAGCATTTTTTATGTTACAACAGAATGATGTTTATGAATTTTTAGTGAAAATGGTTAGCAGGCGAATAGTGAGAACAAATTCTGTCTTTTGCAACCGTATTTTCTTGGTGGTTCGATCATTCTTTTAATCCATTTACCTTGCATCATGCGCAATCATATGTTACTAAACAAGATTCCGAGATTAGTTTAGAAGCCTGGTATTGCTGAACTAAATAAATGATTATGATCCAATTTTACTATTGGGATTAAATAATCATTCAGGTCTTTGATCCCGCCTGATTTTGTTAGATAAGATTATTCGTCCAATCCCCTAATATAATTTAATGTATCGACGGATAATTATCTGCTAATAAATAAAACTCAGATTGTCTTTCGACATTTTACCCTGTAAAGTGTTGTTATGCTGATGTAGACACTCTCGTAAATCATTTGTTCCATTCAAATTTTGATCGTACATGGAATGACATTTGTAACTGCCCTGCTGCTTAGGTCATGACTACATACATGCATATAAATATCTAAATAAACAATTTTAGCCGCTCACAAATGCTGATGCAAGCGAATCTCTCATTTTAGGTGCTCCAAGAAATTAGGCCGTATCTTGTTGGAGCAGCAGGCGGGGAATTGGAGCTTGTAGAAATCGAGGAGCCAATAGTTAAAGTAAAGATCTCTGGTCCTGCAGCTGGTGTGATGACCGTACGAGTTGCAGTCACTCAGAAGCTCAGAGAAAAAATTCCAGCCATCGCGGCTGTCCAACTCTTGTCCTAAGATTTCGCCGTGCCATTGTCTACTTATGCCAAGTAAGTCGAATGTGCCTATTGAATGATTTTTACGAAAAATTGATTTGCCGAGCACGACGGTGGTGCTGTAAGCAAGCAATGTTAAACCTATAATGTATAATTTAGAGGAATTGATGGAGAGGTGCATGTTGTACTTACTTACATGTACATACGTACCTATTGAGTTGGTATTTCAAATTTCAATAATAAATTTGTCATCGTATTTCCTAGTTATCCTTAAATTTCATCTTCTTTTTTTTTTTAAAAATGATGTGTGAACAATGGTTGATGTTTTTCGACTACGCATTGGGTAAACCTTTAGATTAAGTGCAATGATTTGCAAGCTATGTCAGCAGTCAGATAAAACCATATTGTAGAAACCCGGTACGACAGACTCGATTGAGAAGATGTTAGCAAAGATTTTGAATCTATGATCTTGCGGTCGAAAGTTCATTCACCATACCAATTTGGCTACTCTTTGCGGGACTATAATTTGAATACGTGTGTATACGGTGTGCTTACATTAGAAATTTGCAAATTTAGGGTTTTGATGCTATTTCTGGATTGTGAAAATTGTTGTTTGTTTGATAACCATTGTCAGGATTGGCTAGCTTTCGATTTATTGTTATTGGCTATATAAAGATTTTATTGAAATCAGTCAAGTAAATAGATCCTTTTGTGCAACTTTATTCAAATAAGGGTGCGTTTGTTTGGAGGTTTTGATTTTGAGTTGAGATTAGAATAGTAGAAAATTTGAATTGAAATAATTGTATAATGTGATATAAATAAGCGTGTTCGATGTGATATTTTTTAGGGAAAATTTTTGAATGAATTAGTAGATTTTTGGCAAAATTCTTCGAACAAACGCACCCTAGATCTCATGCTTCTTTGTCAAATCACCTATCATAAAAATAAACAATATATATTGTGTAATTTTATATATTGATATGATTAAATTAACATTATATTAATTTGATCAAATAAACAGTTTTACTATACTTGTTTGTTTGGGGATTGGATTTTATATCCACTGTTTATCCCATTTTTCCCCCCAAAAACATCAAATCAAACACCTATTTTATTTTTTATATTATACTAAAAATCAATTTTATATTCAAAACATCACATTCATATCACATCGTACAACTATTCAAATTCAAAACTTTTACTATTCAAATCCCACCTCAAAATCCAAACCCCAAACAATAGCATAACATTTCATGACATGATAGTCTTGGCTTTGGCCATTTCATGACATGATAGTCTTGCGAAAGAAATTAACACTTAATAGCATAACCACTACTACTATTATTAATCTAATGTGTATTCATTCAACTGGACAGAGTAACCAGTAAACAAACAAGCAAGCAATAATCCTATAAATGTAATGTAAGAACCAGCTGAGAACATTTGATTTGAGGCTAAGTCTAAGACTTACAAAAACCTTCTCTGCCCCCCCTGCCAACAAACACCATAGCAATGCCGGTAGTCGATCCCGATATTACAACCCCAAAGTCGAAAGAAGTTCTAACCATCGAGGAGTTTCCTCGTCAAAGATGTAAGTCAGAGGCTTAATCAGAACACCACTCCCTCCGATCTGCAACATACAAAGCAAGCTTAATTTCTCACTCGAAGCTGTTATATCCAACACTACGGCTACGGTATAAAATCTGCGCCTTACCGCCCGAAGCTGCTGAATGGATTTATAAAGTGCTTTTTTCGGCACACAAATAACTACAGAAAAATAATCAGCTACAACACTCCCATCGCGCATTCGAAAAACTGGGCTTACTGTCGGGCCCTGCAAAGAATTACCATGTAAGAAGCAAAATTCGCGATAGGAACTATCAATGGATGTGGTAGTCTGCGTCTTATTATCATTATCCGGACCTGCAAGCCGGATAAAGATGGCTGGGTGAGTACTCGCTCGGCTACTTCCTCGGCGCTGCTTCCCCTCATGTTGGCAGATACCTGCCATGGAAACAAACAGTAAGAGTATATTGATCGGGTAATGTTATTAATCAATGGTGGAATGAGGCGTACTGTGAATTGACCAACAGCGCGTAAATGTGCTTCCAGTCTTTCGAGCATTTCGTGAGTTACATCGAGCACATCTTTTCGCTGGATCAATGACCTTTTACTAGCAACGAATACAGCCTGAAGTAATCCAAACCTAATTCGAATGAGGGGTAGATGTTCTAACTGTTGTCCGAAAATGAAGTTGCATTGGAGGCTAAGTACCTGACTCTCCAAGATGATTCCACCTTTGATTTCTTTTAGATTATTCTCTTTTAATGTGGTTCCGCTACTCACAAGATCCACGATAGCATCGGCTATTCCCATCTAAAAACAAACAAACAAAAAATAACGACAACCATAATTATCATTCAAATTAATAAAATGTCAAAAAAAAAAAAAAAAGATATGAACATAACTGTTAGATAGTTATATAAGCAAAAACAATTAGATCACTATTGTGTGATAGAAATATATCAAAGCTAATCAGATTCAAAATCTGATAAAGAATTTTATTCCTCGTTGTCGTCATCCTCACTGCTTAATTAGTTTTTTCAATAAATTCCTCCTCTTCTTCTTCACTCTCATCCATTTATTCTATTGTAAGTTCGTCACCTTACATAATATTATTTTCCTTTTTAGATCTAGAAGTATCTATACCTTTGTTTCTCATTATTGTATTGATGTTTGCATCCTAGTGTAAAAATCAGCCCGTTAGCTCAAGTAGAACAACAATTCTCCTAATCAAATTATTCTTGTCAAAGACTAACTTGTCCTCCGTAATTATCAACTTATTTAATCAACCACTGATCGGAATCATCAATATCGTTTTCAAAACAATAGGACCAATTACTACGAAAACGATCTAACAAATTTTGATTATACTTTATATAAACCAAATCTTGCAATTTTTGATTTTCTAATTTAGTTCTTATTTGGATAGAATCTAAATATTTAGTTAAGATTTGAGATAAATGTTAGTTTATTTTTTGTCTATATTATAATAAAAAAATATGCATTTTATAAATTAAATTATTTACGTGTTAAAACATATTCCAATGAGCTACTATAGCGGTATAGCGTAGCATAGCAGAGTGCTATTATAGGCCGCTACGCCGTTATTGCGTAAATGCAGAATTGCGGAGCGGTCATAACGGCAGAGTGCCTCTCTGCTACGCTAAGCCGCTATTGACAACTATGGTTCCACCATCTTCAGTCCAAGAGGGAATGTAATCAAAGTACTACTGTAATTCAAATGAATTGGCACAACGAAGCAGCAAATAAGAAAAATCAATCTAGTTAATTATCTACATGAATATTTGTGTTCCTGCACAAATATCTGTGTGGTGACTGGTGGTACTTGCTGAATGCAATGTATAAGCAACATTTTGTACAAAATTTACATACTATTCTAGTGTTGTAAATATTTCTTAATTCTTATCCACACTGCACTCAAACTGACAAGATGATAGCAAGCAGTTACCTCAGTTCTTAATATTTATAGAGTTGGAAAGTTTAGAGCCCAAATAAAAATAAATCATGAATGGCCAAGAAAGGTCGTGCCACATAGACAAACTATGACTTGTTGGACCGTTTTCATATGAACTGTGAGAAGTTCGTCAAATTCCAAGCATGAATACAGAAAGGAATAAAAAATGATATGTTGCAAGATTTGATAATAAGATCCCAAAATACTAATCTTGCCCTGACTATTATTAATCCATATTTATTAGTATCAAGTTCTCACAGAAATTTTTATACAACTTAGTAGGCAAACTAGATCAAGTACAGTAATTTGATTGCTAGAAACCTTCCGGATTGGATCACCGAAAAGAATTCCAAAAACTTTACATGGAATAATCTGAATCTAACAATTCATTCCTTTCTCAATCAACTTCTCTAGTGCATCAGCTACATTTTTTCACAAAAAAAACTATTCTAATCTCTTATCGGTTGCTGCTTATTTATTTTTAACTTTTCATTCACCCTAGCAGTGGCCATACAATTAATTTCTATTAACTGTTCTGCTTATTTATTTTTTACTTTTCATTCACCCTAGCAGTGGCCACACAATTAACTTCTATTAACTGTTCTGCTCCTACGGAAAAATAAATCATGAGAATGAGTTACAGCAACCAAGAAAGTAGTGAAAAGCAAGCACACAACCAAAGTAGCAAAAAGGTTAAGATCATGTCATAAGAGTTGCGGGAGATCATGTTTGCAGATACAGGTAGAAAGTAACACTTACAGCTGGAGCTGCTTCCAGAGCACCATCAGCAGTAGAAAATTTCACATACTTTAGGCCATTTTCTTCCATAAACTTAGGACCCAACTGCATACAACAACAATATACGATAACTTGATATCTTCCCAAAATAAAAGTATAAAGAAAAATATATTGAAAGGTTAAATATGGAAATTTCATCTGTAAATCATACATGTGTGAAGCCGGTGGCAACTCTTAGGGGCTTCTCGGGTGTCCACTGTGGCATCTGTGCTAACTCTTCCAAAGAATTTATACCCTCAAATATGCCATAATTGGGAATCTAAGAACATAGAAAAGGTTTATACTTTTAGATCATAGGAGAGTGCAGATGAAGAAGGTTTAGCAGTACATTGATCAAGATTATAAAGAGCTTCTTACTGCTAGAGATAGACGGCAATCTCCAAAGTCAAGAGCATCATGGACAAGAACAAGATCTTCATTCCCCTAGAGCAAGTATTTTAAACTATAAGAATCTTATGCAAGATACCAAAACAATGAATTCATAGTGGAATTGTGGCGAAGTTGTGATTATATCATATCAGTTTCCAAACTCTTGAGGAGCTTCCATAGCAACTATTCGATTCTAGGAAGACTGTAACAAATCCATTGCGAAATTATACAAAAAGTATTGCCATTTTCATCAGAAAGTGATTCTGATCTACATGTCTTACCTGTCCATATTCCTTTACAGTGTCCAAACCAACAATTCCAAGGTCTAAATCTCCTGATACCAATTTCCTCACAATATCTTTAGGGCGTTGAAACCAAACCTCTAAACTTGGAATCTGTAACATTACATAGGAAAAAAAAAAAAAAAGCAATTTATGCATATATAACTGTCAGCCCTAACAGATATGATAAATCATTTTCAACTGTAGAATCGCACTCTCCAAGTGAAACGAAAGCTTCATCCCAACACAACAGAGCTAATTAAAATCGGAGATGCTTATAAATACTCCAATGGCTGAAACAAACGCACCTGAGGAATATCAGCAACGTATTGCCTCGGATTCACCTGCCTCACGGACAATTGACAATCCTTCGCAGAAACAACCGCCACAAAAAGTAAATAAACGAATAATGAATACAGAATCAGTTTCTCTCCAGAAGCATGAACTTCAGAATTATCGCCAACACCAACACCAACACGCACGCACCTTGAGAAGATCGAGAGTATCGGTCGCCATTCGACCTTTGCTCGGCAAGCCGAGGCGCACTTCGGTTCTCTGGAACCGCTTCTCATCCACGCTCTCTCTGACCAGAGTCTCCGGCGTGGCAACGCAGCAACAGGAAACGTCGAACTTCACCGAAACCGTACCTCTGGAAGAGAACGCAGTGGGCAAATGCGGAATCGGAGGGCATTGTAGGAAGATCGTACGCACCAGAGACATATTCCAACTCTCCACCAAAGAAATCAAACGCCGCCGTGCCGCCGCCGCCGATAGAGATTGCTGATGTGATACGACCAGGAAATGAACTCCCCTTATTATTATAGGTTAAAAGGAAAAAACAAAAGGGAGAAATCATTACAAGCCAATAATTTGTCTACTCTTGTCGCTTTAACATAATTTTTTCTTTCATTAATTATATATTTATAATTTTTATTATTATATTATATTTTCTCCGTTCGTTTACAATTTATATATTTCTATTTTAGGATATTTAATTTAAAAATTAATATTTTATTAAATATTCTATTTTTTTTTCACAAATGCAAAAATATTATTACATTACTTATTTTAGCTACTCACGATAATTAAAAATACTATTATTTTTTAAACATCGTGCCCCAAAAGTAAATATAGACATTGTAAATGAGCAGATGGAGTAACAATTTTATTAGCACTGACAAAATTTTAAAAATTTATACGATTTCGAAATCAATTTCCTATAATTAGTATTGTCAATATTTACAATAAAAATATATTATATATTTAATATATTATTATATTAAAATAGTACTCCTCCCTCCACGTTTATATTTGTTTTTTTTTTATATAATTGAATATTAATTATTATATCAAAATATAAGTACAAATTAAATAAAAATAACAAAAATATTTTTATTAGTATCTTATAATACAAATATAATGATATTTGTATAAAAATTTTATACAAATATAATGATATTTTTAACATTAAGTATAATTACGGAGAAAGTAAATATAAATTTTCAAAGTGGACGGATGAAGTATTATTTAATAAAATTCAAATAAATATTTTAAATACAAATCAAACAGCCGAGGAACACTTAGAGTGTGTTTGTCATGTGAAATATTTTAAAGAATAATTTCTTTTTTTACTGTAAAATATATATAAAAAAAAATTGTATGAATAATATAAAAATAATGAAACGTGTGTTATATTAATTTCTTTTTACAAAACGTATTTCTTTTTTTTTCAAAACAAACACAACCTTGATATATTATTATTATTATTTAAAAAATCATATTAATAAATTGTGTAAAATAACTTAAGAAAGGCGTGGATATAACCATATTCCAATAAACAATTGCAACTTTTTAAATTGTAAAATGTGGTGGGGCTTGGATGTTTGGCGTTTGGGTGTTCCAAAGGGCGCATTAGATTTGTGGTACATTTTTGTTTTCTTATACTTCCTCCGTCTCAATATAATAGTTTTATTTACAATTTTTGTCCATCATAAAATAATAGTCTTATTTCTATAAATAACTATATTACCATAAAACTACTATTATTTTTTTTTATTACACAATTGATACTACTTTTTATACTAATATACTCAGAAGGGCAAAAAAAATTTTTATTCATACTTTTTACGAACTACCAATATAATATCAATATTCTTTAAATCTCGTGTCCAATCCAATTAAGACTATATTTATGGAACAGATGGAGTATTATTATTACTAGACCGAACTCTTATACGTGGATTTAAATAATACTCTCTCCGCTAAAAAATAATAGTTCAGTTTTTTCATTTTTATTCTGATAACTAGATCCTTACTATTTTACAAAATTATCTTTATTTTTCTCAATAATTACATAAAATATGAACAATTTGATTATTTAAAAATATTTTTACATTTAATATAAATATAATGTTAAATTTATGTATAAGTCATTTAAAGAAAAATAAATTATAATTTTATTATTTTTATTTTAACACCTAATAATAATTTTATCACTATATATTTATTTATCCTATTGTTTTTTTTACCAATGTTTTAATCAATTTCTCGTAATACTTTCGTTTTAATTTTTTTTTTTTTTTACTTTTGTATATTAAAATAATAATATTTTTTAATTCTTATATTCAAAAAAAATTGTTGGAGATTTCATATAATAGTTAAATAATTAATGATAAGTATCCTTATGTACTTACGTATTTGTGAATGCAAATCATATGGTTAATTTTATATATTAATGCATTAGATCTAATATTTACATAATGTGTTTAATTGTGTTTTATGTTTGCAAATAAGCATCTTATTTAATTACTCTTTTTTATGTCTTATCCGTGGGATTTTTAACATGTTTGATTAATAGTAAGCGCCTTAAAAGTCATACTCCCTCACGGATGATTCATTTATTTTTGGCTCAGAGTTTAAGAAATAATAGTATTTTAATTATAGTGAGTAGGTAAAAGTAGTATAACGACATTTTTGTCTTTGCTTTTTGGTATAAAAGTAATGATGTGATGTAAAATAAGGGAATTTGTGGAAAAAAGTGGAGTATTTAATGAAATGATTACTTTGTAATTGGACGTCCCAAATTAGAAATATGTATACTTTGTAGCTGGACGGAGGAAATATTAATTTATTGCTCAAATACTTCCTCTATCCGGATAAAAAGTATATATATTTATCTTTTTGAAATGTCCAAAATTATAAAGTAAATATTTTATTAAATATCTCATTTTTATTTTTTTCACAAATACCATTACTTTCCATCATATCATTACTTTTACAGCAGAAAGAAAGACAAATACTATTATTAAACACTACACCAAAATAAATATTTACTTTATATGTGGACGGAGGGAATACCATTTTTACTATTTTTCTTTCTCTCATTCAATAATTTCTCTTACAAATTATTCTTTTATATAAAGTCAATGAGTAAAACTATCAAAGTTTCTTACATTTTTTTTACCAATAAAATACTATTATATTATTATTTTTGTACATTTGTTGCATTTTCCTTATAGAGCAATTGGATTTAAGCATTTATCCATATCACTCTGTCAGCTCAGTTGTATATTTTGAACTGTTGAGATATTTTAGATATTTGGTTTTAGATTTATATTTAGATTTGATCTTATCTATATATTAGATTATTTAGATTTGAGTCTATCGAGTCTGTTTTGTATTGATCTATATATAGACTCCTTATTTTGATGATCAATAAGACAATTTTATTATTTCCCCCAAATTTTCTAACATGGTATCAAAGCCTATTTTTCTCATGCCGTAGATATAGCTTACCAACCCGTGTTTCTCAAGGTACATTCAACCTGGATTGTACCTAGAAGTTTTGTGATTTTGAGATCATGATATCTGCCACTTGTCTGTTCCTGTGTGCAATTTGAAACATGTCTGCGATCTGTTTGCTATCTACCATATGTCCACTATCTGTCGGTTGCTTGCGTGCGATCTGCCATCTTTCGTTGCTTGTTTGTTGCCAGAAATCTGTCTACGATCTGTCATATGTCCGTTGCTTGTGTGCGATCTGTTTGATATTGCGATCTATTTGTCTTCGGCTCATGTGGAGAGTCATCTCATTTTTCGGCTCTAGTTGAGTCATCTCGTTTTCGGCTCCGGTGGAGTCATGTGGTTTTCAGCTCCAGTGAAGTCATATGGTTTTCGGCTCCGATGGAGTCATCTCATTTTTTCAGCTCTAGTTGAGTCATCTCGTTTTCGGTTCTGGTTGAGTCATGTGGTTTCGACTACGGTGGAGTCATCTCGTTTTCGATTCTGGTAGAGAGTCATCTCAGATTCGACTCTGGTGGAGAGTCATCTTGTTTTCGGCCATGGTGGAGTTATGTCGTTTTCGGCTCCGGTGGAGTCATGTTGTTTTCAACTCCGGTGGAACCATCTCATTTTCGGCTCCGATGGAGTCATGTCGTTTTCGGCTCCGGTGGAGTTATGTCGTTTTCGGCTCCGGTGGAGTCATGTCATTTTAGGCTCCGGTGGAGTCATCGTTTTCGGCTTCGGTAGAGTCATTTCGTTTTCGACTCCGGTGGAGAGTTATCTCGTTTTCGACTCCGGTGGAGAGTCATCTCGTTTTCGGCTCCGGTGGAGTCATTTTGTTTTCGGTTCAGGTGGAGAGTCATCTCGTTTTCAACTCCGGTGGAGAATCATCTCGTTTTCGGCTCCGGTGGAAAGTCATCTCATTTTATTTGCTCCGGGGTGGAAATTCATCTCATTTTCGGCTCCGGTGGAGAGTCAATTGTTGTTTTTATTTATTTATTTTTTTGTGTTTATATTCAACTTTCTTATAAACTCAACTCAAGTTGGTTTATGTTAGAACACTTGAGTTTGAGGGGGATGTTGAGATATTTTAGATATTCGGTTTTAGAGTAGATTTATATTTAGATTTGATCTTATCCACATATTAGATTATTTAGATTTGAGTCTATCGAGTATGTTTTGTATTGGTCTATATATAGGCTCCTTATTTTGATGATCAATAAGACAATTTTATTATTTCCCCCCAAAATTTCTAACATGAACTATGATATGATAGATCTAAGCTAAGAAATTAAAGAAAGGTAGATGTAGAAGAAGTAAGAAAACGAACACTCATCACAGCTGTTTCATGCTCTGGCCGAGGCCGGCAAAGATGTCGGAGAATATGTCCTCTTAACCGCACATCTTTGCGTATCCAAGGAAGTAGTTTATGTCCATGACGTAGTATTCGTTGCTCCCTCTTTTTTTTTTTCTTTTTGTTATGACGTGGGAACCAGCAGCTACTATCCGAAAGTGCGCACGGAGTAAACCTCCGATCGAACTTAATACCCTGCAAACTAGACCCAACATACAAGTTACACTAAACAAACTATGCGTAGAGGGTGACCTTTCTTTTGGATAATGTCAAAATGTTGAAGAGGCATCACTACAAAAAAATATCAATTTTGTAACAAGATTTTTTCGTTTTTAAATCCATTTTTTCCGTTACTAATGATATTAGAGACGGAATTAGGGATGAAATTACGTTAGCTACATGAACTTTAAGAACATAATTCCGTTACAAATGTACTATTTTTTTGTAGTGCGTAGCCGATATTTTTGTTAAAATATATTTAGAAGTAATTTATTATATTTATGATAGTTATCTTATTTAAGAGATTCGTAGGATTCTTGTCTTATTTAGACAATTTTGTATATCACTATAAATATGTACGTATTCTTATGATTAAAATAGAAAATTTCAGTTTCATATTCTAATATGGTATCAGCGTCAAATTCTCTTTGGGTACCTCAATAACCCGTTATATCCCACATATATTTTTATATTTTATTATGTATTTGTTTTTATCCACGATCATGCTGTTATTTTCATGTGATCTCCGTCTCTACTACTCCACTGATAGAGTCTACTTTCGACTCTAACGCCGTTGAGAGTCCTATTTTCGACCCTAACCCTATTGAGAGTGAGCCAGTCCTGTTTCCGACTTTAGCTCTATAGAGTGAGCGAGTCCTGGTTTCGGCTCTAGTTCCATTGTGAGCGAACGAGTCCTGTTTTCAACTCTAACGGTGTTGAGAGTTCTGCTTCTGATTCTGATCCAATGGACGAATACATCACTCTCAGTCAATCTTGGCGAATTCAAATTCGTACGTGGAAGATCTCGGCTATATATTTTTTTGTCACTTCTGACAAACTCAAGTTTGTTCGATCATATATTGAGTTTGAGGAGGGGCGTTAAAATATATTTAGAAGCAATATATTATATTTACGATAGTTATTTTATTTAAGAGATTTGTAGAATTCTTGCCTTATTTAAACGATTTGTATATCACCATAAATATGAACGTATTCTTTGAAATAGAAAATTTCAATTTTTCAAATTTTAACAATTTTAACTAGCCTTAACATTAGTTCTAAAATAGGGGAGACAATATTGTCTTTTACACTAATTATTTACTTAATCTGCTTTACAGATGAACAAATCACTTAAATAAAAATCTAAAGGATAATCAGACTATAAATTCAGCCTCATCATTAGATAAACATAAAGTTTTTTCAAGGAAAATAAAAAGCAGAGAGAACACGAAACAGTACCGAGCTATAATATATCCTAATTTTATATTAACATGACATTATTTTTTAAATTTTGGTAAACAATAATATTGCATTATTTTGCCTAAGGGATGGAGTGTTGTTTTTTTATTTGATCTATAATGCATCTTAATAAATATATATTTATTTTAAATAGTGTTGTCGCTGTAAATATTTTTCGGCTACTTATTCCAGCGTAGCGGTCGAAATGTGTTTTTTTGGCTGTATTAAGAAATAATTCGAAATTGTGTTTGCAAAAAATAACTAAACATTTGCCGGGCAGTTCCTTGATATGCGTTGTAACGACGACTTCCTTCGGATATGCTCCTGATGCGGGGTTTGCAAAGCTACGCCAAAACTCAGTAAAAACGATGCAACTCATTGTGCCAATGATAAAACTTTTATTGCCATAATCTTTCATTCAATCTACACTACAAAAAAAATTGTATATTTGTAACGGAATTTCGTTCCTAAAGTTCACGTAGCTAACGTAATTCCATCTCTAATTCCGTCTCTAATATCATTAGTAACAGAAAAAGTGAATTTAGAAACGAAAAAATCTCGTTAAAAAATTGATAATTTTTTGTAATACTGTAACTAAAAATAATCATATATTTCATTAGTACATGTTATCATAATATAGTAAAATCAACAAGCAAAAAGGTACAAAAACATCGGTATCTAGACTTTATGTATATCTATATATAACTAAACATTAATGGAGGAATTTTAGCTCAAAAGATTCCTAAGGTGTTGGCGAGGGCAGGCGACCATAAAAACTAAAGAACATGAAGAGTAAAAAGTATATGAATTGGCGACAACGTATTTTAATCTACTTTAGCTCTTATATCAGCTAAATAAACTAAACTATCATACCACATTGATCGATTGTCGCTGAAAAATGCTACTTACCGATCAATAGTCATGAACTCGCCGTATAGGTTCACCCAAAATGGTTTGCCACTGATAGTGTTATAGAAAAATACGAAAAAGATCTAAAGTTTTATTAACGAAATCGAGTTAAAACAGAAATATTAGACTTGTTTTGGTTAGACTCAGTTTTTAACCACTCGAAACAGTAAATCGACACACAAAATTCACCTAATAACTAGCGACTACACACTTTTAACCAGCCCGAAACCAACACGACTCACACAAAATGAACCCCCTCAAGAATATACAAGGCGAAATAAACAAAAATACAAACGCCTAAAGGTTGAACGAGCCCTTTTCGGCTACGAACAACAAAACAGGGGTAAAACACCGCGCCGCAGGTACTCCACAAGTTACAGGAGGAAGGCGTCGCCGAAAACCGCCGTGAACTGCCAGAAAAAGTCACCGGATAAGGTAAACAGAGAGGTCGAGAGAGAGAGAGGCAAGAGAGTAGAAAAGTTAGACCGAGAGAGTGTGAGGGAAAATTATGAGAGCTGCGCCCTCTCTCTCTATGTATATATATATATACTCAAGGCAAGTAGGGACGAACGGCCAGGATCAAAGATCTATAATGGACGGCTAAGATCGCGTCGAACAAAAGACACGGATCCTAAGCGGGTCACGGGCGCGGGATGTTGGCACGGGTCAGGTAAGTGGGAACGGGTCAGGCTAAGATTGGGAGTAAGCGGTTCAGGGTCCGGCGGGTCACGGGTTGACAGGTGCGGGTCGCGGTCAGAACCAGAGTTTAACGCGAACTGCATAATTAAGTTTGTGTATCTAGGGTGGATCTAATTAGATAAAAAAATCCAGCGTATAAACTTGTCAGTTGAGAGAAATAGTTGTTCTCCAATGTGAAGAATAGTATTTGCGACTATGACCATTTGAAATAGACTGCTAAATAACATATAAATTGCAAGGATTGTAAAAAGAAAAATATCTTTAAAAATATGTTAACTGTGTTAAAATAAAAGTTATAAAATTATAAATAGATAAAACAAATTTACTATAAATAACTTATATATAAATTTAACAGAAGAAAAAACTAATTTAATTTTAATTAAAAAAAAAACTAATTTAATTTTAATTAAAAAGAAAAACATATTATTAACACTCCGGTGTATAACAAGGGTGTAGTCTAGTTTAGTACTACTATTATTCATAAAAGAAAAAAAAAATGATTTCCGAGCAATATAAACATTATTTTTCAAAAATAATAAATTAAAATTTCCGAGAAGGAGACGCACCCGCCAAAATGATGGCGTGCTGCTCCCTCAGCTTCTCTCTATATATAGAGAGAGGGAGTTAAGAGTTTGTTGGTTATTAATCAACAACTTCTTCTGCTCCCACTTGGAATCTACAACTTCTGATCTCGCCGGCCATCGTTTTCTTCTCCGAATTGGGAAAGTAAGTTTGTTGCAGGATATCTCCATTAGACTGTGGCGGTTTCTGTGAATGGTTTTGGTGCCAAGCAATCGGTTCTTTACTTGCTCTAATTTCTGCAATTTGAATTGCAATCACTCAATCTAGGGTTTTTCCTTCATTTCGAGCCTCCTTTCTGTGATGTCGGGAGATTATCGACAATGAGTATGAGCGCGACTGTTCCTTTGAAAGAAGGGGAAGCACCAGAGGCGTCCACTAGTGCGCCGGCGGAGGCGGCGGGGAAGACTTCGAAGGTTGTAGTTGGATACGCTCTCAGTTTGAAGAAGAAGAACAGTTTCCTGCGGCCCAAGTTTCTTAACGTAGCTCGGTATTGTTTCGTGTTCTCTCTACTTTTTATTTTCCTTGAAAAATCTTTATATACTTCTTTCGACACATGTAGTAACCCGTTGATAGATTTCCTTTTGTTTCTGTAGTCCGCTCTATTTGAATTTTGCTGTGATGATTTGATATGATCCTTTGTGGCGTTTTTGTAAACAAGATTACATATCTACACAGATACCTTGCGGATTCTTGACCATGATTAGCTAACTATATGAATATCTATAAAATTACATTGGATTTATAGTCAAGATGTTGATCAGTAATGGAGTTTGTGGATGTGGAACTTTGGTAGGCATGAACATACTTTATTCTTTATTTGCCGAAATGCAATTATTTAATCATCTTTACATGAATGAAATTAATTGTTCTGGCAAGGATTATGTTGGTGAAGAACAACAAATACAAGAAGATATAGATATACTATAATCTTGAATAAGAAATGGATTCTTACCAATATGGTATAGATAAACTTCTTCTTGATTATCAAAAACTAGTACAAGTAGATGAATCTCAATGGAGTTCTAAAAGTGGAATTCACTCGACACTAGGAATTATTTTCACTAAATACATAAGAGGAATGGATGTTCTAAAAGTGTGAAAATGCTTCTTGAAGGGGGGAATATTCCATAGTATGTACTTTTGAGGCTAATGTCAACATAATATTATGGCCATACATTCATATGTCCTAAATTGGATTATCTGCTTTCGGTATGTCTAAGCTTTGATCTTTTACAAGTCATGCTACAAAAAAATTTCTTATGAATCACTAGCATTTGTTCGTTTCACTTGTCTGCATTTGCAATAGAAATTAGTTTTTACTCATCTATTCTTTGCAGTTGTCTCTGATATCATCTCTCATCAGCTATAACTTTTTCTCAATTAATTAGGAAGATATATGTGTTCTGTAACTATTGTTTTTTTCACCATATAATTGATTTGAAATTCTCTCTTGCAGAACCAAGGGGATTGAATTTGTGCCGATTGATGTGAATAAACCTTTATCGGAACAAGGTCCATTCGACATTATTTTACACAAGGTCTGATTTATTCATATAAATAACAATGTACTTTATTAGAAAGCACTGCAAGTCTTGTTATCTATTAGGACTAAATTCATCATCGAGCTTTGTCTTTCAAACTTCATTTTTTTATTCGAAAATGAGCGACAAAGTTGCTGGATAGAATTGAATAAATCTAGGCATCGCACAAATCTAATGTATATAAGTTGGGTGACCAATGCTTAAATGTCATTTAATATCTTAGAACATTGTCCATCTTTACCTTGGTTTGCTATGTAAGTTGTTATTGCTTCATAGAATGTAAATTTCAGGTTCTCTAGATACTAAAAAAACTAGGTACTGATTGGTTGCAGCCAACAGTTTTCTCTGAGAATGCTTCAACCTCTTTCATTAAGCTCGATGAATGTATTATGATAGAATCAAATATTTAAAGAAAATAATTTTCGAAAAAGAAGTGAAAAGCAACAGAGACGAAAAGAAGATAAAAAAAAAACAGTAAATCTGTAGATGGCAGACTCATTATTAGATCTTCTATTTATCTCTTGCTTTTTTTGACGCCGCACCGATCATACTCTGCAGTATGCATTTAGACTGTTTTTTTCTATATTCTTATTGTTTACAAGATTACGTTTCAATCTATTGAATTAAAACTGTAATTATTTAATACCGTTGATTACATTAGCCTTTTATCTAATGATTGTTTATTTATTTATTTTTTCCAGATAGAAGGAAAGGAATGGACTGAAGCTGTTAAGGTTGGTACTCTAAACTCTATAGCATTAGAAGTAAAAACTTGAATGATGTTTACAATCCTTCCTTTTTTGATGATGATGTGCATTTTATCTAAAGTACATGTTATGATTCTATAACTACGACTGTCTTGTGCATTATATATATATGTGTGTGTGTATATGTATATCTACATATTAGCAATGCAGCAGCTCTATGACCTATTGATCATGAATATTAAACAATGTAACTAAAACCTCTATTTTGATACCTAGTAATATCTGTCCTAGAATCCTCATACATTTTGTATCTCAATGTTTTTGCTGGGTTGATTATATATTTATAATCTACAACATTGTCTCCCCTATTTTAGAACTAATATTAAGAGGCTAGTTAAAATATCTGCTGACACTTATGATAACACTTCATCCATCCAGGGACTGAAGCCGGATGTCATAGTCCTTGACCCCCCTGATTCCATTCAGCGACTGCGAAATCGCCAATTGATGCTCGAGGTGGTTTCTGATCTGAAGTTTCAAGATAGTGATGGTATTTTCTTGCTACATAAAGTTTTCTCTTTCCCCTCTCTTTGTTTACTCTCATTTGAATATCACAGCTATGTGTAATGCACTAATGTTCTTGGACAGGCAATGAATTAGGTCATGTTCGTGTTCCGAGACAGGTGGTGAGTTCTAGCAATCCTGCTTCAATACCTGATGAAGTTTCTAAAGCAGGACTAAAGGTGCCAATAGGTAATTGAAATGAAATTGAAACACAGATTCTTTTTCGCCAATTTATTATCTCCACATTTTGCCAGACATTCTTAAGACTTTCTTGCTCAAACTTTGTCGAATGATCCTATTTTCAGTTGTGAAACCACTGCTCCTCGATGAAACTGCAAAGTCGCATGAACTATCCCTTGCGTACGATCTTCCATCCCTCGCAAAACTCAATGAACTCGATGGTCCCGTTGTCTTACAAGAGTTCATCAATCATGGTATGGGCTATGATCATCTTTCCTCAAGGTAAATAAATACACACACTCTATTGAATTTTATATAACTACATTACATTGTTTCTGGTAGGCGCTGTGCTGTTTAAAGTTTTCGTAGTCGGTGAGGCTGTTCAAGTTGTAACACGCCCATCACTGTGTGATGTATTCGACTACGAACTATCACTACTTTCCGGCATCATTCCCTTGTACAGAGTTTCCTCTGCTGAAGCATCTTCACTAATTGCAGTTCCATATTTTGGTGAGATTGCAGCCTCCTTGTTTGTTTACTTTATGTTCCTCGACGATTTCTAGCTAACAAGTACAAATAATAATTTATGGGTACAGAACTTCCTCCACAGCCTTTGATTGAAGGCCTTGTAAAAGATCTCCGCGAAAAACTGGTAATAAATCATGCATCTTCTCCTTATGTGTCGTCCATTGTGCAATATATATGCATAACATCCGTTGCTCCGGGTAGGGACTACGTCTATTCAACATAGACGTTATCAAAAAGAGAGGGAGCAAGGAATACTACGTCGTGGACATAAACTACTTCCCTGGATACGCAAAGATGCCCGGTTACGAGGACATATTCTCCGAGTTCCTCGTCAGCCTCGGCCCGAGCATGAAACAGCTGTGATGAGTGTTCGTTTTCTTACTTCTTCTACATCTACCTTTCTTTAATTTCTTAGCTCAGATCTATCATCATATCATAGTTCAAATATACAGAAAAAATAGGTTTCATTGGATTAGCAATGAAATGTTTTTTTGGGGATTATCCATTGTTATCACATAAGGTCCTGACTATTCGTTCTATTACCAGTTTGATCAAACATATTAAGAATCCTATGGAGAAGATATAAATAGAGTAGTTAAATAATTTAATACTGATAAGAAGCCTATTTTGCAAACATTAAACACACTTCAACACCTGATCATAATAAATCTTAGATCTAATGCATTAATATAGTATAAAATTAACCACATGGATGTCTTTCGTTTACCTAATTAATTATATTTCGTTCATTAAAATTGGTCATTTGGTTAGCTAAGAATAATGAATATTTTATTAAAAAAATAATAAAAATAAAAAAGTAATTGGAAGTGTTTTTAGAAATTTAGTTAGAAATTAAAATAAATGAACAGTAATAAAGATATGTAAATAAGAATTGAATGAAATATAATAATTAAATGTTGATTTGTTAAATTTTTGCTAAAATTACAATGAAATATAATAATTAAATATTAATTTATACTAAAATTAGTAATTAAGTAAATTTAGCGAATAAACTAAAAAGAAAAATAAAAATAAATTTGATGGACATATAATATAGTATAATATATATATATATATCCACATGCATAAAAGTTATACGAGTTTAGTTCTACGTAGTTAATACTCAATTGAACACAAAAACCAAAATACTACAATTTAATCGAATTAATAAATCAACTAATATACAGTAGACGGACACATAAATTCAATTAAATGAATAAATCAATTAATAGACAAATTAGGCAATGAAATACACTAATTAATTGAATAATACACCCTAGACAATCAATACACTCCTGTTAATTAGAACATACTACACACAATCACAATTAAACCAAATCAGATAATAATAATTCGAAATTAATACAACAAAATGTTGTAGCTCAAAATATTTTTTGGCGGCTGCTGAAACACGGTAGGTCCTCCGACTTTTTCCAAAAAGGATCCGAAATAGTATTCCCAAAAATAATAAATCAAGGATAGAGAAAAAAACGGGAGCAATATAAATAGAAAGAAAACAAAGAAATAAAAGGAAGATGATAAGAAAATAAAAGAAAGTAAAAAGAAAATAAAAGAAATAAGAAAAGTAAATTGAAGGGAAAGAAAAATAAATTACATAAAAGTAAAAATTATGAGGAGAAAAAGAGATGTGTAGAGAAGAGAATCGTAGTTAGTCTCTTTAATCCTATTTATACTACTATCTACCGCATCTAGATTTGACTAAGATTTTAATTTATCAAAATCTATCAATATCTTAATAAATTATTGAAAATTAAATAATATTTTATCCAAAATAATATTTCGGGATAACACAAACATAGTCAAAATAGTTGTTCATAGTCAATGTGCCAAAAAAATATTTGATCCCGTCAGGAATGGCCTGGTGGTGTGATGGTGGACTCGTGACCTTTATATCAAAGATTCAAACTTCTGATGCCTTCAAATTTTGTATATCACACATGATTCACCTAGTATGATTTTCCTTGTCGGACATAATTTGCAGGCTATTAAGTTCCGCGGGAGGTTAAGTAAACATCGGAAAACATGTATAATATAATACATACAAAGTATTCATATATTCACCTATTTTTATAATAACATAATTCTTGTTTTTCCTTTATAATATGGATTGTTATGCCTAACTCAATATACAAAATATTAGTATATGAATTATGTCACACATGTATAAATTTGATCTAGACTTTTGTGTCAACCTATGTTTATAATAGCTTAGCTCTTATTTTTTCATTCTAATATGAATAGTTATGTCTAATTCGACACGCAAGATATAAGTATACAAATTATATCAAACAAATCTAAACTCCTATGTTCACATATCTTTATAATAATTTAATTCACGTTTATCCCTTCTGACATGGATTGTCATGCTTAATTCGATGATCAAGATATAAATATATAAATTGTGTAACAGATGCATAAATAGATCTAGATTCCTAAGTTCACCTATCGCTCCCTTTAGAAAGAAAGGGAACAACAAATACTACGTCGTGGACATAAATTATTTCTCCTATTTGAATCAATTGATGAATATGTTGAATTAATTGCACGAATTTTGAAGCGAAAGCGTACCTAAATATAAAGTTATAGACGGATCTTGGATAAATTATATCTTCCAAGATCATAATGGAAACTACAAAAAAATGAAATTACGCTCTATCTCTGGACCTAATCCTAATCTATTTATTTAGAAAAAAATATAATTGTAATTACAACTATATCCTTAACTAATATTTAAATTTTAGTTCCAACACCAAAATAATAATATTAGGTCTACACTTTGCATGTATAAACTAAATAATTAATTACGTAATTAATTAGATAAAGTACAATATTATAGTAATATATATCCACTTGCATAAAATTCATAAAATTTTAGTTTACGAAATCAGAACGAATCAGGTGCTGAAATTGAAGTTTCAGCACCTGTGCCGAAGCACTTAAAAATCTACTTACATGATTTAGTTTATTAAATAATATAATTATACAAATTAAAATGTAAGTATTCAGCATTGTACACTTGATCCAATCTGTTACGAAATTAATACTCAATTGAACACATAAACCAAATCAAGCACAATTTAATCAAATTAATAAATCAACTTATACACATTAGACGGACACATAAATTAAATTAGACAATGAGTAAATTAGAAAATTTAGGAAATTAATACACAAATTAATTGAATAATACACTATAGACAATGAATACACCCCATAAATTAGACACACATATCAATTAACTGACCCATAATTTTTTTTTGAAATTAAGACAATAAACATAGTCAAAATAATTATTCACAGTCAATGTGCCTAAAAAAATTTGATCATTTCACTAATTGATTGATTTAAAAACAATTTAAATTAGATCTTTAAAAATCACTTCTAAAGAAAATTAGAACTACATAAATTTAATTTTTAACTTCTATCAAACCTCAAATCGATACCAAAAAAACAAACAACCACGTTTATTGAGGTTTCTTCTATTTTCATCTAAATTTAAGTTCTTCTTACACCTAACCAACTTCAAATATAGAAAATAGATATAATTTGAACTTCAATGTAGAGAATAACATTTCAAGAAAACATAATTTCGATTCGTGTTTCAAACACTTGAAATGAACACTTTTCTAGCTCAATATCGTATTATCTTTGAAAAAAAATACTATATGTCTTCTATTAGTGTTCAATTATACAATTCTTCAGTTATAAAATGAGCGAAAAGATTGTGATCATAGTGGATAATAGAAAAATACTCTACGACTATAGTTCTTTCTTATCTGCCGCAGTGAAACAAATAAAAATAGAAGTTAATTGATCGCGTCGATTTCAGATGCAAACATACCATCACAAATATAATTATTTTTTACATAAAGTCAAAGAGTAAAAGTGTCAAAACCTCTTATACGCTCCCACTCACTAATAAAATATTATTATTTTTTAATCTATTACAAAATTCCAAAGAGCCCCTCTAGACCAACAGAAAGAGTTAAATATAATAATTTGAAAATTAAGTAATGTGATAGGAGTGAAAAATATATATTTATTTATTTATTTAGATGATGTGATGTGATAAAATATAATATAAATTTATTAGGGAGTTAATTATTTCATATTTAAAAAGTATTACAACATATATGAAATAATTCAAAAGAAAATAAATAATATTACATAATGTAACAAAAAGAATATTTTTTTTAATCTTTTATATTAAAAAAATATTTATTTTTAAAATACTATACAATACATATACATTCCAATACCCATTGTACCGACAGGTCAAAATTGAATATTTTAAAAGTAGTTAGAATTTGTTTATTGAGGCGACCGTTACAGGTGGTTGATTGTGTCAAATGAGCGCACTAATATGAAATAATTAATATTTTATCACATGATATATAATATATGACCAAGTTAGTATATTAACTTAAAACAATTAGTTTTTCATTATAAAACTTATAAAATATAATGTGTTATATAGAAATATATGTTATCTGAGTTATATATTGTGTTAAAATCAACATATATTGTGCTACATAAAATTATTATAATGTATTATACTATATTGTTGTTGCTCAAAATTTTTTTACGGCTTGTCGGGACGAGTCTGGCAAAATCGGATATGTCTTCCGCCTTTCTAAAAAAAAGTAATAAATCAAAAATAGAGAAAAAAAAGAGCAAGCTAAATAGAAAGAAAGAAAAAATATAAAAGTAAGATGACAAGTAAAGAAAAGAAAGTAAACAAAAAAAAAATAAATAAATAAAAAATAAAAAAAAAAACAGGAAGTAAAGTAAATTGTATAAAAATTAAAATTATAATGAAAAAAAGAGGTGTGTAGAGAAGGGGACCCTTGAGGTAGTTTATCCAAAGCTACCAATATCTTAAAAAAATATGCAAAATCAAATATTTCTAAATATTTTGGAATAACAGAATGCCCGCACAAAAGTGTGCGATTAGATAAAATAATTGGAATTGTATCATGTATCACTCTTTTTTCTTTTACCTGATCGATACTTTTGTATATAGAACTTGATCAGTTCCTTCAAAGTACTTCCAACTCCCATCCAACGCGATAATATGAAAAATAAAGACTTTAAATGGCGTGTCTCATTCTCCAATGGCTTCTGAAAAATTATGAACTCAGTGGCGGCGTTCTCGGCAGGGCTATCCTCCGTTCTTTATACAACGGAGTTGTCGTTTTTTTTTTTTTTTTTTTATCGTGATGTCACTTTGTAGTGATTGGATCTGATCGTAATGGGTGATGAACTCGACGGGCAAAATTTCAACCGTATTTACCGTAAAATCGCCATGGAACTGAACTGGAAGGTCGAGATCATGATCGGAGGAAATAATATTCAAACTTGCCTCAGAAAAATTATCTTCATCAAGAGCATCTATCCTCGTTTCCTTGTGCATCTCCAAATCACCCGTAACCATTGGTACTTTTCCTTTATCCTTGTTCGGCACAACTTGTGAAGTGCTCGCTTCGGCTTGATGGTTCGACTTCCATTCCGTGCGATCATTTAAATTCAAATGGGGATTATTAGGGGTTGTTTCCCTATGAATGACAAGTTGTGAATCAGCATCATGCGTAACAATTTGCGCATCATTGCCTTGCTGCTTCGGCCTCCATTCTTTTCTGCTATTTAAGTGATGCCGAAGATTTCCAAACTGAACAGCTTGCTCGGGGATTGTCCTGGTCACATGCCTAGCTGGCACTTTACTAAAAAATTGTCTAAAATCCTTGCGTGATACCCCTGCAGGGGCGGCAACCCCGGGCAGCACGTCGGAGATCGGTTTCGGGCTTAGCTCACTTGCCAGCCGTGCTACTTGACGCCAATGCTGTCGGCGCCTTTTTTGGGATCGGGAAAGATGCTGATATTTATTTGGATCTTGATTAATCGCCCAACTCCTATATCGTGAAGCTGTTTCAAGTCGTCGGGTCGGGTGAGGAGTAATGAACTTGATTTACCGACGACACCCTCCTAATTTCTCCATTCCTTTCGAAACGCACTTTGGCCATGGTGTTCGAGGGTGTCAATCTATCCTATGTAGGATTTCGGCGTGGGGGCTGATGTGCTCTTCTTACATGCTCGACAACAGATCTGCGCGGCACCGTTGGCTTCTGAATTTTTTTCTTTATTAGCGCTCTTGACCTTTTTTCTTTTTGATATTGAATTTCGACCACGTTCATAGGAGCAAGGAATGGATCGGCGTCATCTTTACCTCTGGCCGATCGGCGAGGCATAATTGGCCTTCTTTGCTTGCCTTTTGCACCATGTTTTGGAATTTCAATTTGGCTGAAAAGTCTATGCCATTTACAAAACCTTTTCCCTAACTCCTCATCCAATAGAAATTTATTTTTATTTTTCAACCGAAGTTGTTTGTCTTTCAACAAATAGTTAAATATTTGTTCCGACTTGGTGATATCAAATAAATAATGCCCTTTCGAATTTTATTTTATTTTTTCTTAGAAGCTTTTGAAGTTGGGCAAGTGTATGCCTCTCCTTGTGAAAATTCAGCAAGGTATATTTTATCGGTGTCACCCTTGGAAGCCGGCACATGGTCTTATTCCTGTACAAAATCAACTATTTGGCAAACAAACGTAATCAATCCATTAACAAATTTATAGTAGTTTGTTTTATCTATTTATAATTTATATATATATATATCCTATTTTTATATTAACATGACATTATCTTTTAAATTTTCACAAACAATAATATTGCATAATTTTGCCTAAGGGATGAAGTGTTGTTTTTTATTTGATATATAATGCATATTAATAAACATATATTTATTTTAAATAATATTGTTTCTTTAAATATTTTTGGGCTGCTTATTGCAACGTACCGGTTGAAATTCGTGTATTTTTTCTGGCTTCATTAAGAAATAATCTAAAATGCTGTTCACGAAAAAATCACTAAATATTTGGCGATTGTGCAATAAAAGGAACGGGCGTAGAAGCTCTACGCCGGTTGCGCAAATTTCGGCCTCTAGTCAGCCCCTTGATATGCACTATAAGGACAACTTCCCTCGGATATGTCCCCTGATGTCGGGGTCTGCAAAGCCGCACCGAAACTCATTAGAAACGATGCAATTCATTACACTAATGATAAAATTCTTATTCCTATACTTTTTTATTCAATCTATAACTAAAAATAATCTTATATTTCATTAGTACATTTCATCGTATATAATGAATATTACAGTAAAATCAACTAGCAAAAAAGTACAAAAAATATTACTATCCAGACTTTATATATATCTATATAACCAAACATCAATGGAGGAATTTTAGCTCAAAAGATACCTACGGTGTTGGCGAGGGCAGGAGATGATAAAAACCAAAGAACACGGGGCGTAAAACGTATATGAATTGGCGACAACAACGAGCATCTTTTGTGATGATGATCTTTTGTCATAGGCCGCAAGATAACTTATCAATTACATAGGACCGTAAAAAAAAATATTTTGAATATATTATTTTTTATCGGTTATGACCGTGAAAGCAAGTAAGCATATCCATAAATTTTATTTCCACAAGTTTGCCGACATCATATATATAAGTTACAATATAATAGATAACACGCAACTTATATTAATATAACGCAATTACAACATTTGAATTAACAATCAATAATAATCTATATAATACAAATTTCTAGTGAATTGAATTTTAATTATTTAATTTATAGTCCCTCGGCCCCACGTAAAATTCTCATTATTTCTATTTCAATAGTATTAAAATAAAATTTATAAAATTATAAATAGATAAAAACAAATTTATAAATTTACTATAAATATATTATATATAAATTTTAACGGAAAAAAAAAAACTAATTTAATTTTAACTTAAAGAAAAAACATATTATTAACACCGATGTATAATACGGTTGGAGTCTAGTTCATGTTATTCATTTAAAAAAAATGATTTTCGAGTAATATAAATATTGTTTTTAAAAAATAATATTATTAAAATTTCCGAGAAGGAGACGCACCCGCCAAAATGATAGCGTGCTACTCCCAGCTTCTCTGTGTATATTGAGAGAGGGAGTTAAGAGTTTGTTGGTTATTAATCAACAACTTCTTCTGCTCCCACTTGGAATCTACAACTTCTGATCTCGCCGGCCATCGATTTGTTCCCCGAATTGGAAAAGTTTGTTTGTTGCAGGATATCTCCATTAGACTGTGGCGGTTTCTATGAATGGTTTTGGTGCCAAGCAATCGGTTCTTTACTTGCTCCAATTTCTGCAATTTTAATTGTAATCACTAACTCTAAGGTTCTTCCTTCATTTTGAGTCTCCTTTCTGTGATTTCGGGAGATTATCGACAATGAGTATGAGCGCGACTGTTCCCTTGAAAGAAGGAGAAGCACCAGAGGCGTCCACTAGTGCGCCGGCGGAGGCGGCGGGAAAGACTTCGAAGGTTATAGTTGGATATGCTCTCAGTTTGAAGAAGAAGGACAGTTTCCTGCGGCCCAAGTTTCTTAACGTAGCTCGGTATTGTTTCGTGTTCTCTTACATTTTCTTATCCTTGAAAAATCTTTATGCCTTTCGACGCATGTAGAAACCCGTTGATAGATTTCCTTTCGTTTCTGTCTCGTCTGCACTCAGCAAACTATTTGAATTTTGCTGTGATGATTTGATATGGGCGTTTTTTTGTATATGATTAGCTAACTATATGAATATCTATAAAATACATTGGATTTATAGTCAAGATGTTGATCAGTAATGGAGTTGGTCGATGTCGAACTTTGGTAGGCATAAAGATTCTTTCTTTTTTTATTAGCCGAAATGGAATTATTTAATCATCTTTACATGAATGAAAGTAATTGTTCTGGCACTGATTATGTTGGTGAAGAATAACAAATACAAGAAGATCGAGCCCAAAATCTACCTATGGATAAACAGAGATACATAAATATACTATAGATATGATATAATCTTGAATAAGGAATGGATTCTTACCATTGTGGTATAGATAAGCTTCCTCTTGATTATCGGATACTAGTACAAGTGGATGGGTCTCAATGGCGTTCTAAAAGTGGAATTAGCTCGACACTAGGAACTATATTCACTAAATACATAAGAGGAAAGGGTGTTCTAACATCATGGACACTAATTCGCCAACTTTTTTTCAACATTAATTGTTTGATTGACTTATCCTACAACTGGTTATGCTTCTTGAAGGGGGGAATATTCTATAGTATGTACTTTTGAGGCTAATGTCAAGATAATATTACGGCCGTACATTCATATGTCCTAAATTGGATTATTTGCTTTCGGTATGTCTAAGCTTTGATCTTTTGCAAGTCATGCTACAAATAAGTTTCTTATGAAATCACTAACATTTGTTAGTTTCACTTGTCAGCATTTTCAATATAAATTAGTTTTTACTCATTTTTTCTTGTTATGGTAGTTTACTTATCTTTTTCTAAACCAGTCATTTGGAAGTTGGAATTAAAAATCCACCCTATATTAGGGATATGCAGGTTTGCTGATAAATGTGTTCTGTAACTATTATTTTTTTCACCATTTAATTGATTTGAAATTCTCTCTTGCAGAACCAAGGGGATTGAATTTGTTCCGATTGATGTGAATAAACCTTTGTCGGAACAAGGTCCATTCGACATTATTTTACACAAGGTCTGATTTATTCATATAAATACAATTTACTTGATTAGAAAGAACTGCAAGTCTTGTTATCTATTAGGACTAAATTCATCATCGAACTTCGTCTTTCAAACTTCATTTTTTATTCGAAAATGAGTGACAAAGTTGCTGGATAGAATTGAATAAATCTAGGCATCACACAAATCTAATGCTATGTAAGTTGGGTGACCAATGCATAAATGCCATTTACTATCTTAGACATTGTCCATCCATCTTTACCTTAGTTTGCTGCTATGTAAGTTGTTATTGATTCGTAGAAAGTAAATTTCAGGTTCTCTAGATACTGACAAAACGAGGTACTGATTGGCTGCAGCCAACAATTTTCCCTGAGAATGATTCTCATACTTCAACCTCTTTCATTAAACTCGATGAATGTATTACGATAAAATCAAATATATAAAGAAAACAATTTTTGAAAAAGAAGTGAAAAGCAACAGAGACAAAATGAAGATAAAAATAACAGTAAATCTGTAGATGGGAGACTCATTATTAGATCTTGTATTTATCTCTTGCTCTTCACCGATCATACTCTGCAGTATGCATTTAGACTGTTTTTTTTCTATAGTCTTATTGTTTAAAAGATTACGATTCAATCTAGTGAATTAAAACTATAATTACTTAATACTGTTGTTTAACTAATGATTGTTTATTTGTTTTTTCCAGATAGAAGGAAAGGAATGGACTGAAGCTCTTAAGGTTGGTACTCTAAACTCTATAGCATTAGAAGTAAAAAAAAAAATTGAATGATGCTTACAATCCTTTCTTTCTTGATGATGATGTGCATTTTATCTAAAGTCCATGTCATGATTCTATAAGAAAGACTGTCTTGTGCATTATATATATATATATATGTGTGTGTGTGTATATGTATATCTGCATATTCGCAATGCAGCAGCTCTATTTTGATACTTAGAAATATCTGTTTCTAGCATCCTCATACATTTTGTACTCTCAATGCTTTTGCTAGGTTGATTATATATTTAGAATCTACAATATTGTCTCCCCTATTTTAGAACTAATATTAAGAGGCTAGTTAAAATATCTCTGACACTTATGATAACATTTCATCTATCCATCTCATTCTATTTTGGGTTTGAGCCAGGGACTGAAGCCGGAGGTCATAGTCCTTGACCCCCCTGATTCCATTCAGCGACTGCGAAATCGCCATTTGATGCTCGAGGTGGTTTCTGATCTGAAGATTCAAGATAGTGATGGTATTTTCTTGCTACACAAAGTTTTCTCTTTCCCCTCTCTTTGTTTACTTTCATTTGAATATCACAGCTATGTGTAATGCACTAATGTTCTTGGACAGGCAATGAATTAGGCCATGTTCGTGTTCCGAGACAGGTGGTGAGTTCTAGCAATCCTGCTTCAATCCCTGATGAAGTTTCTAAAGCAGGACTAAAGGTGCCACTAGGTAATTGAAATGAAATTGAAACACAGATTCTTTTTCGCCAATTTGCTCAAACTTTGTCGAATGATCCCATTTTCAGTTGTGAAACCACTGATCCTCGATGCAACTGCAAAGTCGCATGAACTATCCATGGCGTACGACCTTCCATCCCTCGCAACACTAGATGGTCCCGTTGTCTTACAAGAGTTCATCAATCATGGTATGCGCCTTGATCATCTTTCCTCAAGGAAAATAAATACACACACTTCATTGAATTTTATATAACTAGATTACCTTGTTTCCGGTAGGCGCAGTGGTGTTTAAAGTTTTCGTAGTCGGTGAGGCTGTTCGAGTTGTAACACGCCCATCTCTCTTTGATGTATCCGAGTCCGAACTTTCAACACTTTCCGGCATCATTCCCTTCCACAGAATTTCCTCTGCTAAATCATATTCAGTCGCAGTTCCATATTTTGGTGAGATTGCAGCCTCCTTGTTTGTTTACTTTTGTTACTCGACGATTTATAGCTAACAAGTACGAATAATAATTTATGGATACAGAACTTCCTCCGCAGTCTTTGGTCGAAGGCCTTGCAAGAGAGATCCGCGAAAAACTGGTAAGAAATAATACATCTTCTCCTTTTCCTTTTGTGTCGTCCATTGCGCAATATGTATGTATAACATGTGTCCGCCGTGTAGGGACTACGGCTATTCAACATGGACGTTATCAAAAAGAGATGGAGCAAGGAATACTACGTCGTGGACATAAACTACTTCCCTGGATACGCAAAGATGCCCGGTTACGAGGACATATTCTCCGACTTCCTCGTCAGCCTCGGCCCGAGCATGAAACAGCTGTGATGAGTGTTCATTTTCTTACTTCTTCTACATCTACCTTTCTTTCTTAGCTCAGATCTATCATATCATAGTTCAAATATACAGAAAAAATACCTTTCACTGGATTACCAAAAAAATGTTTTTGTGGGGATTATCCATTGTTATCGCATAAGGTCCTGACTGTTTGATCAAACATATTAAAAATCTTGTGGATAAGATATAAATATAGTTAAATAATTTAATACTGATAAGATGCGTATTTCGCACACATAAAACACAATTAAACACGTGATAATAATAAATCTTAGATCTAACGCATTAATACAGTATAAAATTAACCACATGGATGTCTTTGGGTTATGTAAGAATAATGAATATTTTATTGAAAAAATAATAAAAATAAAAAAGTAATTGGAAGTGTTTTTAGAAATTTAATTAGAAATTAAAATAAATGAACAGTAATAAATATATGTAAATAAGAATTGAATGAAATATAATAATTAAATTTTATTTTGTTAATTTTTGCTAAAATTACAATGAAATATAATAATTAAATATTAATTTATACTAAAATTAGTAATTAAGTAAATTTAGCAAATAGACTAAAAATAAAAATAAAAATAAATTTGATGGACATATAATATAGTATAATATATATATATATATATCCACATGCATAAAAGTAGTTCTACGTAGTTAATACTCAATTGAACACAAAAACCAAAATACTACAATTTAATCGAATTAATAAATCAACTAATATACAGTAGACGGACACATAAATTAAATGAAATCAATAAATCAATTAATAGACAAATTAGGCAATGAAATACACTAATTAATTGAATAATACACCTAGACAATTAATACACTCCCATTAATTTGAACATAATGCACAGAATCACAATTAAAACAAATCAGACAATAAATTTTCGAAATTAATACAACAAGCATAGTCAAAATAGGTGTTCACAGTCAATGTGTCCAAAAAAAGATTTTAATCAGTAAGTATCTGATGGTGTAGGGTGTACTCGTGACCGTAAGGTAATAAATCCAAATTGTGTCGCCTCCAAATCTTGTTTGCATACAAAATATTAGTATATGAATCATGTCATGCATGTATAAATTGATCTAGACTCTTGTGTCCACCTACCTTTATACTCCCTCCGTCATGCACGGAGTTTTAGGTATGATATAATTAGTAAATAATTAAAAAAATATATTAGTAAAAATAATTATAAATTAAAATTAAGATGACTAAATAGTTTAATTAAATATATATATATAAATTATGAATTTTAAAATGTTATTAAAATGCATAATTATATTTTATTTTTTTTTAAAAAAAAAAGATATCATATGGGACGGATGAAAATACAAATATTGGAAAAATTTAATGGGATGAAAGGAGTAATAGTTTATTTCTTATTTCTTCATTCTAATATGAATTGTTGTATCTAATTTGGACATGCAAGGTATAAGTTAACAAATCATATCACGAGCAAATCTAAATTTCTATGTTCATATATCTTTATAATAATTTAATTTATGTTAATCCCTTTTGACATGGATGGTCATATCTAATTCGATGATCAAGATATAAATATATAAATTGTGTAATGCATGCATAAATAGATTTAGATTCCTAAGTTCATCCACCTTTATTTATTGCTCCCTTTGGAAAGAAAGGGAGCAACTAATATTATGTCGTGGACATAAATTTCTTCTCTAGTTTGAATCAATCGATGAATTTGTTGAATTAATTGCACGAATTTTGAAACGAAAATGTACCTAAATATGAAGTCATAGATAAATCTTGGACAAATTGGTTTGATCTTCAAAGATCAAAGGTTCTTTTCTATTCTTGACAAGAGAAGAGCAAAAGAAATAAAAATCTTTGTATGACACTTTATCTCGAGACTTAATCATAACCTATTTATTTAGAAAAAAACATAATTGAAATTACAATTATATCATTGATTAATATTTTCATTTTAGTCACATCACCAAAATAATAATATTACACGTGAGTCTATTTTGCATGTATAAACTAAATAATTATTTAGTTAATTAAATAGATAAGGCGCAATCTTACAGTAGTATATCCACATGCGTAAAATTTTCAAAATTTTAGTTTTACGTACTTAATACTCTAAACACATAAACAAATGAAACACAATTTAATCAAATTAATAAATCAATTAATAGAAAAAATAGGCAATTAATACACAAATTAAGAATACACAAATTATTTTAATTTACTTAATTACCTTTAATTAATTAATGGTCTAAATTTGTAAATGGTGAGTTAGAATTTCATCTCAGCATATAATCTTTACCTATCAAATTAATAAATCCATAAAAATTTTCGAAATTAAGACAATTTCAAACATAGTCAAAATAATTGTTCACGGTCAATGTCTTCAAAAAAGATTCGATCCTTTCACCAATTGATCGATTTTAAAATAGTTTAATTATAAAATTACTTATCAATTGATTAACCCCGGTTGATACTTCAATTGCCAATTTCTTACCCAACAAAGAAATCAACAAATTAAATTAGGTCTCTATTTAAGTTCTCCCTAGACCTAACAAACTCCAAAGATAGAAGATAAATATAATTTGAACTTCAATGTAGAGAATAATATTTCAAGAAAACATAACTTTGATTCCTGTTTCAAACACTTGAAATGAACACTCTTCTAGCTCACATATCAGATTATCTTTGAAAAACAAAACACTATATACTTTTTATTAGTGTTCGATTCTACAATTCTGCAGTTATGAAATGAGCGAAAAAAATTACGATGATGGTGGATAATAGAAAAACAAAATACTCTACTTGCGATTATAATTCTATCTTATCTGGCACGTTGAAACAAACAAAAATAAAAATTGATTGATCGTGTCGATTTCAGATACAACGACACAAAAATTGGAAAACTTTTTCTCGTATTCGGAAAGAAAACCGTGTGAAGAATAAGATGAAAAGTCAAATTGTGTGGTGGTGGTGAGTGATATGGGGGTGTTATGATACGCGGGTAATAATTTATGTTGAATGTTGACTTTTATGATAAAATAAAATATATATATATTGAGAATTATTTTTGAAAAAAAAAAATTAGCATATTATTATTTTTTTACTTTCTACTTTATAGGTAAAGTGATATAATTGAATGAGCTAAGGAAAAAAAATTATAAGGGATAAGAGAGTATATATATATTCTTTTTGTTTACAAGAAATTAATAATTTAAAATAAAATATTAATTTTTATATTATTAATACGATTTTCTGTATCTAATATATAAAATATATTTATTCAAAAACACAATATGGACACATATATTCAAGTAAAACAAATTTTAAGCATAAAGAATTATTATTCATTTAAAATTGTATGGTTTATTTTTTTGTCTCAATATTATTATTTCTTACCTGCTTTCATTACTAGTTGTAATTTAAAACTAGTAAATGCACCTTAAATTGCTAAGGAATTTAGTCAAATGTTTTTATATTCTATGGGTATGTTTATAATTGATTATGATAGATAATATTATTTTATTTTATTTAATTATATGTTTATTTTAAAGGATTAAAATCCATTATTGTCTTCAATGTTTGATTATTATTATACTAATTTTGATTTTTATGATTATCATATTATGAAAATATTCTTGAAAAAAAAATAAAACATTCACGAAGATATGCAGAATGAATATGTATGTACATATACACAGAACATGGTGATTTTCACATGCATATATATATACATGTTATGTTCTTTTTTATTTTTTTTTAAATTTTTTGTTTACTATATAAGTTTTTATAAAAAAAAATACACTATTATTGTAATGAAATATTAAATCGAAACTGCTATTTAAATAAAATATATAAATACGAACAGATACCAATTTACAAGTGAAGTGTACACATCAATAGAGAATGAGACTTCAGATTATCTTATCCAAAGCTATATATAATACCCATTACCTACTCTTTTTGGAATTTTGTGCTTGGACAACAATATATATATATATATATATATGCTCCCTCCGTTTCGGATATTTTATCCGCTTCAATATAGATACGGAAATTTAGAAGGAGTATAATTAGTAAATAATTAAAAGTATATTAGTGAAAGTAATTATTGTATAATAAAAATAATTATATATTACGATTAAGATAACTGATTATTATAATTAAAATTAAAAAAAATTATAAATTAAATTTTTAAAATAAGATTAAAGTGTATAATTCTTTTTCAAAAAAGAAAAATAACAAAATAAGTGGGACAGACGAAAATGAAAAGATAAACATGAAATGTGGGACGGAAGGAGTATTTTTTTTAGCAAGCTTATTTTTTACTTTATAAATTTAGTTAATAAATTTAATTACTATATACGTTCCATATAAAGTGATAATACGTCTGATTTTCAGTACGAGAATTTATGTAGATAATAGAATAATTTAAAAATTAACAGACGGTGATAGATGAGAAAAATATGTATTTATTATATTTTTTAGGTAATATAATGTAATATATATTTATCAAGGAATTAATTATTTCATACTATTTCACAAATATTATAGAATATATAAATAAAAATAAATATATTACAAAATTTACGGAACGAAAAGAATATTATTTTAATATTTTATATTAAAATATATTTATTTTAAAAATACTATCCAATAGATATACATTCCAATAGCCATTGTCCTCGGTGACATGTCAAAATTGAACATTTTGAAGTAGTTAGAATTTGTTTATCGAGGCCATCATTACAGGGTGTTGCTTGTGTCAAATCAGTACACTAATATGAAGCAATTAATATTTCATCACATGATATATAATATATGATCAAGTTACCATACTAACTTAAAGCCATTAGTATCTCATTATAAGACATATAACGTACCATATGTTATATAGAAATATGTATTGTATGAGTTATATGTTACTCTCACCTATCATATTCATGTTTTCGTTTCTATCCGTCCCACATCTCATGTCACTTTCTTTTTTTAGAAAATGATTTAAAATTTTAATCTCATTTTAAAATTTTTTATTTTATTTTAATTAAACTAATTAGTTATTTTAATTTTAATTTATAGTAATTTATATTATAAATTAATTATTTTCACTAATACATTCTTAATTCTCTAAATTATACTTATCTTAAATTCTCGTGTCTAGACACCCAATGTGGGATGGAGGGAGTATATTGAAATCAATATATATTGTGCTACATGAAATTATATAATTTGTTATGCTATATATTGTATTAACATTAGTTGTATGGATTATATATTGTGTTGTACGGTAAAATATGTTTATTGTGTTGTTGTATTGAATTTATAATATATTATGTTAGATGTAATTGTATAATGTGTTATCAAAATATATGTTTTATAATTGTTGTCACTAAAAATATTTTTCAACGGCTTATCAGAGCAAGCCTGTCGAAAATTGAGTGGGTTCTCCGACTTCCTCTGACTATTGTTTTGGAACGGACAAAAATGGTAAATATGACTATTGTATTGGGACGAATGAAGTATCATATATTATATTAATATGTCCTATTTGTTTTATAAAACCAATCAACACATGATATACTTCCCTTCCCGGAATATCTAACCTATTTCATTAGTGATATAATATTTAAGGTAATAATATTTAATTAGTTAATAATAGTGATTTATGATATTATCTTTTATTTTTTATGTAACAATTAAAATAAATTTAATATATATGATTGAAAAAACTATAATATGCATTTAAATATATTTAAAATATATGACAATAAAAACATATATGCATTATGAATATCATATTGTAGAAAATAAAATTTCTTATAATATAAATAAATAAGAAAATATTTTATAAAAGATATGAAGTTTTAAATATAGATAAAAATATTTAGTTATTTTTTAAAAAAAAGAGATAGAAATAAAAAAATTTTGAGTTGGTCCTTCACTATGTATGATGTCATATATTATTATATTAATTAAGTTGATTTATATTCTCTATGTCCAATCTAAAGTAGCATTTTATTATTTTCCTCTGTCTCACTCAAAAATTCTATTTTCTTATTTTAGTATTAGTAATAATAGTTAATATCAAAATATCCTTAACTTTTATTTATATTATAAATATATCATTACAAATACAATTATTTTATAAATAAAATCAAATGAAAAAAATATCAAAACCCCTTGTACACTTTCACTGAACAATAAAATACTATTATATTTTTAATATATTACAAAACTCAGGCTTATATTCAAAGGGGATGGAGGAAGTATTTGTTAAGTATGTTTTGATTTAATAAATTTTATCCAAAATAAAAAAGTGTTAATTGTTAGGAGACAGATAAAAAAAATCAATCAAAATAAAACGAATAGAGTATTTTACAATTTACATACAGGTTATTAGAGCATCAATTATAGTCATTATCTTTATCCCGTTATTTTTTTATTTCTTTCATCCACGTCATATTTATCTCAACATTCAAATTATTTCATTTATCTCTCCTTATAGTAATTAGTATATCACCTCTAACACACTATCTTTACTATTTTATAAATCCACAATAATTTATTTATTTCCATATATTTTTATTATGTAATAATATATATAAATAATTTATTAATATATGTATTTCTATATATTTTTTATTTTCTAATAATATTTTAATATAATATTATATTTTAAATTTTAAATATTAATCAATATAAGTTTAAATAATTGAAATTATTCGAAATAAATCAACATATATATTAATTAAAAATTGCATAAAAAAGAATCGTAATATAATATAAACGTATAAAATAAATGTATCAATAATATAACTTAATAATTATTATTTTTATTGTCAAATTGTATCCAATAATTTAATTTAAACACTGATTGAAAAAAGTAGTATTTTCAATAGTCATTTCATTTAATTGAATAGGAAAAGGTAGATAATTGGTTAATGAATTTTAAATATATTTATAGATAATTTATGTTAAATTTAAACTTTAAAATTTTGAAATTTCAAAAAAATTATTTTATTTTATTTTATTTTGTTGAAGGTAATGAGTTCTTGATAAAAATATTAAATTTTGACAACTGTATTTTTTTATAGTAATAAGTTTTGGTATAGTAAAAACTGAAAAAACAGTAATAAAGGTAACAAAATAGGTAACGGTAACGGATGCTCTTATAAAAAAAAAAAAAAAAAAAAAAAAAAAAACAATCTTACAAAAAAATTCAAATTAAATTGAACTAGATGACAGTATAAGTTTAGAATTTACTTCAATGAGTGATCACATTCAAATTCTTATTAAAATATTAACTTGAATGTAATAATTTGTGTAAAATAATTTTTTTATATATATAAAAATTGTAAAAATTAAATAAGTTATTTAAAATTTTAAAAAAAATCATTAAAATAGTAGTAAAAATTAAATAATACATTAAAAAAAATCAAGAAAACTGCAAATCTAATAAATTAAAATGGGGTATCAAACCCACAAATATATTTATTTACAATATAGACCCATGACAATTTTGCTATAGAACTTTTACTCCTCAAATCACAATTATCTTTCCCACCAGATATTAATTTTCTTCCTCTCATAATCGTAACTGCCCAAATATAATTCAACCACAGGGGGACCGCTCGAATCGGCGCCGGCGCCGCCGTGAAATACTCTAGCTCCGCCACAATTTCGCTCATCGGAGGACGGAGAGCCTCCACCGGCGACAGGCAACGCGCCGCCGTCCCTAGCAAAAGCTCGACGGAGCCTTCCATGTCCGGCGGCAAACGAACCCTAGAATCGCACACTTGGTGCGTACGGCGTCGTTTTATCAACGGCAGCGCCCACTCCACCACCGACGCCGGAGATTTAGCCACGTCGATGGCTTTCCTCCCCGAAATCAACTCCAGCAAAACGACGCCGTAGCTGTAGACGTCGATTTTCGTGCTCAGCTTCTCCGGCGCCGTGTAGTTAGGGTCGATGTAACCTATCGTGCCGGCGGGAAGGACGTCCGCGCCGCCGTCCAATCTCACCGCCAGTCCGAAATCGGCGAGTTTCGCGTTCCAATCTCCGTCGAGGAGAATGTTCGCCGGCTTGATATCTCGGTGAACGACGGAAGCGTCCGGCGCGTGGAGGAAACGCGCCGCTCTCGCGAGTTGTAGCGCGATTTCGAGGCGGTTACGCCACGTAGGCGGCGGCGCGGCCGAGCGGTGGAGGAGATCGTGAAGCGTACCGTTGGGGAGGTACTCGGCGACGAGAATCGTGTCGCCGGAGTCGCCGCGGCCGACGCCGACGAGATCGACGATGAGCTGTGGATTCGGACGAAGCGCGGAGAGAATACGCGCTTCGTTCTCGAGCTTCGTGTTGTCGTGGAGCTTCCGTAGACCTGAGGACTGCTTTTTGACGGCGACGAGTGTACCGTCGGCGAGGATTCCTTTGTAGACGCTGCCATGGCTGCCTTTTCCGACGAGGCGCGCGGCGGAGAAGCTCGCCGTGGCGGCGTCGATTTCGTGCAGGTCAATTATTCTCATATTTGATTTGATTTCATATATTGCATTAATTTTGAGGAATGTTAGTGATAATAAATATAACACGAGAAAAGGTCACTGCGACATAATAAAATACTACAATAATTTTAAAATATAGAATAAAATAATTGAAAATAAATAAAGTGTTAGTAGAGAATATAAATTTAAATTTAGGAATAGTTTAAATAGAAAAAAGCAAGAAAAAGCAAAGGTGGGTGACAGTCAGTGTCTTTTATAGATATTGCAGTGTGAGCTGTTTAAGATGTATGTACGTATGTATTTGTAAGTGTATAAAAAGGATTTTATACATCACATAAAAATTAATATACTATACACATTTATTAATTTTATATCACTTATACAATTCTCTATATTTTACGTACAAAAATATTATTTCAAATCAAAATACAAAATAAACACACTCCATGTAGTATTTATCTTGAAAAATATTATAATAAAAGCATTACAAATAAATATATCAAATTCTACAATAATATTTTAAAATTAATTATATTGTTAATTTAGTTTGTATTTAAAACACAAATCAACACCATTAAATCTTCCTAATAAAAATGTAACATTATTTAAATCAAAACTCAAATCAAATCCAAACAAAATGTTATATTCCTAATTATAATTATCATTATTACTCTCTCCGTTCCATAAAAAAGTTATCAATTTGCTTTTTATACGTAGTTTTAGAAATATTAGTATTATATTGGAATATAGTAGGAATAAAATAGAAATGACCAAAATAACCTTATTAGTATGTGTGATATAAAGGTAATAACATTTGTGTAATATATTGTAAGTTATAAGAGTATTTGTAATGTTAGGTAGATAATACGGTTACTAAAAAAAAGAAAATGAATACTTTGCTATGAGATAGAGTAAAATAAAAAAATAGATACTTTGTTATGGGACGAATGATCTATTAAAGTTGAATCCAAGTTTAGGTCCACCTGTAGATCTCATTACCAAATAAAAGAGTGTTTAGAAATCTGAAATTTTAAAATATTATTAAAAAGTTAGTATTTAATAGTATATAATTATTTGTATTATATCATATTTATTTTTATTAATATATTTTTTAATTATTTAATAATTATAATTTTTTTAAATTTCCGCATCTAAGGTAACTACTAAATATTTTATCGGAGACGAAGAGAATAATAAATTACGAATTGGTTCATTTTATCATCAATATTAACGAGTTTAGAAACCTTCTCGTATAGCTACGTTCTTTTTGATACTCTCTTCTATTTCTCTATCATCTATTTTTCAAAACTTTATATAATAATCATTTTGTCATAAAACATAATACACAATTACTATTTAAACAAAATATAAATACAAATCAGCCAAATTCAAATAAAATTGGAAAAAATTTCAACCATCGTTTGTTAATCATGTTGGATAATCGGTTATTTTGCAATCGATTATCTTGTGAGTGAAAATGCGACACGCGGTGTATCAAATTAGTTAGATTAATTTGAAAGAAAGAAAGAAATATTATTTATTTATTGTGTACGGGGTTTGATTAATATTTTGGTTATTTTGTCAGTCTCGAGACAAACCAAATTGTGCAAGTCCAAATTAAACCCGGATATATGGCCTAAAGTGCAGTATTATTTGGATAAAATATTATCCGTTAGATAGATTTATTATATTCTCAAACAGAATGTTTGAAATTAAAATAAATTACAATCGTTTCAAACAGTTTGAAATTAGAATAAATTACGATCGTCACAAACAGAAAGTTTGTAATTAGAATCAATTACAACTGCTTCAAACAAAAAGGTTTGAATTTAAAATAAATTACATCGATAATTAAGATCATAATTAATTGATCCCCTAGCCATTTTGGCCAAGTGGAGTCGCCTATACAAAAGGTCTTCCCCATTCATTCTAAACAACTAACACAAACAATTCTCTCATCTTTCTCTCCTCTTTTTTAGCTTTTCGGCAGCCTCTCCAACTTAGTTCCTCTATCGTTTTGTTCACCGGAGCTCCAACGATTAAAGGTGTCACTCTCATTGGAGACGGAAACCGTTTTATCTTTGGGTTAGAATATCATCCACCGGAGGCACTACAGGGTGTATCTAATTTTCAGAAAGAAGATTCATCCTCGACTTGGTTTCACTTTTATTCTCGCAATAACTATATATTCCAACAAATCAATGTTTTCTTCCCTCAAAGTAGTGGGAAAATAATTCGGTGTGCTCATTTATATACTCCTTCGTCCGCTTAGAGTTATATTTATCTTTTGTGTTATTGTACTTAATATTAAAAATATCTTTTATTTTGTATAATTTTTGTACAAATATCTTTATATTAGTATTATAGAATACACTGATAGAAGTTTTTTTTTTGTCATTTTATCTTGATTTGTACTACGTTTTGATATAATAATTTATATTCAAATATCAACATACAAAAAATAAATGTATCCTTAAAGCCTAACGAAAATAGTATTATTTTGGTAGATGTATAATTACGTGTGTTTATTTGTGTTTCACATTTATTTTTACTTTTATTTACTTTACAATGAACAAATTTTTATTAAAAAATAATAATAATTAAAATTTATTTTTATTAAAAATTAAATCCAAAATTTATTATTTATTATTAAAAATATCATATCATTTTTTTTTTCTCATTTAAAATAACAAACAAAACTTAATTCTACACAAATATCAACCAATATTCATTTTTTTATATAAATTAATATATATTTGATAAAAATATTTACTAAATGTGATATTTTATATAAGTATTTGTGACATTTCGATCCGCAACCTACAGAAAGTCAGGCGTATCAGGATCTTAGTATAACCCTATAAGTCAACATGAGTCCTTTAATCGTGCTTCTATCATCACTCACGTGCATCATGAGAAATTTACCATAGGTCGTCAATCCTCAAATTACAATTTTAACATATTTTATTGATATAGTTGTTTCAAACTTGCTCATATATTTTGGAAAAACATTCATATTACTTAATATACATTGCATGTATATATTATAAATACAAGTGTGTATTAAGTAATATGATAGTGTGTATGAAACATAGTTTATGTTTCTGAGACATTTAGCCGTGTTTTTTCTTTTTGGATGACGTGGAAATCCGCAATCGCTATCCGAAAGTGCACTGGGTAAACTCCCAGCCGAATCTAATACCTTACAAACCAGGCCCAACGAGAAAGACACACTTAGCCATTTTTCAAGTAACATGACCGTGTACTTGTTATACATATGCATGTATTAAGTAACATAACCTTGTTCTTGAGGTATACATGCAAATGCATTGGGTTTATGATCGTCTATCAAATAAAATATTTGTGTGTTTGGAACAAGATTGCATTCCTGACATACATGGTCATATATAAAGAAATATAAGTCCTTTATCATATACAAAGAAATATAAGTCCAGTAAATAATGGCCTTGTAGTGTGGAGGTGGACTCGTTCGTGAGGTCATGAGTTTAATTCTATGTTTTCAGGTCATCTGCTATACACACTACTAGAAAATATCATTTTTGTAACGAGATTTTTTTCGTTCCTAAATTCATTTTTTTAGTTACTAATGATATTAGAGACGGAATTAGATATGGAATTACGTTAGCTACGTGAAGTTTAGGGATGGAATTCCGTTACAAATATACTCTTTTTTTTGTGTAGTGGCATGGTTTGTCTAATGTTATTTGCTTTGTCGGGCCTAGTTTCCAGAGTATTAAGTTCCGCTGGGAATTTACTTGTGCGCACTTTCGGATAACAGTTGCGGAAAAAAAAAAGTTTATAATAGAAAATTTAACTTTGAATGATTTTTTTTTCTTTTAAAATTAGAGTTTTTACACGGGAAATTAAGAGGAGTATGAGTAGTAAATAATTAAAAATGTATTAGTAAAAATAATTATCGTATAATAAATATAATTATATATTAAAATTAAGATAATTAATTAATTTAATTAAAATTAAAAATTTTAAAATAAGATTAAAACCTATAATACTTTTCCAAAAAAAATGACAAAATAAATGGGACATATGAAAATAAAAAATAAATATGATAACTGGGACGGAAAGAATAATAAGATTTGTGACATAATTAATTATATATTAGGGCCTTAAAATTGCATTCTTACCGAGTAAAAAAAAAAAAAAAAAACAAGTAAACCGACAAAGATTCATAAATTGGTTTTGGAATTTCAAACCTAACACAAGGAAAATACTCGTCGGTCTCATTATAACAATGATTATGATTATGATTATTTTTCTAACTATCTTACCAAATATTGACGAAATTAGGGTTAGAGAATGGACAAAAGTTCCTTCCCTAACCACTCATATTAAAAAGTACTCTTTCGTTTCAATACAATAGTCTTATTTACTATTTTTGTCCGTCCTAAGATAATAGTCCTATTTTCATAAAAAAAAAATCATATCACTATAAAACTACATTTACTTTTTCATTAATATCACACAATTGCCATTATTTTTTATACTAATACACTCATAATGACAAAAAAATTTTTTACCCGTACTTTTTATCCACTACCAATATAATATCAATATTTCTTAAATTTTGTGTCAAATACAGCCTAAACTATAATTTTGGGACGGATGAAGCAGTTTCTCTTGTACTAAACAAAAAAATTCTAAAGTCCAACCTTAGGTTATTACAAAAGTGGGGAGTGGATGGGAGTTAGTGAAATACTAACGTCATTTTTATATGGAGTATTAGTTACTTATTGCTTTTTGTCCAAACCTTCGATAAATCATTCAAATGTATATATAGTTTGCAGGTTATTAGGTTCGACCAAAAATTTACTCAATGCGTACTTTCGAATAACGATTACGGATTTTCATATTATATATATATATATAAAAGACAATACATTTAACGAAGACATGCTAATAAAATATATAAAATATATTTTAGTAGCATATTATATAACTTTATGTAACATAATAAATAAATTATACAACATAGTATAATATATATTGTACATGATACATATTTCTATATAATATGACATTATATTTTTAATGGATAATTAGAGTTAATTCTTTATAAAATATTTAAGGATCAAGAAAATATATTTCAATAATTTAATATTTAAAATAAACATACAAAAATAATAAAATATATATTTGAATCGGAACGGAAGAAGTATATAGACACAACTAATGCTGACATGGACTATCCACATCACAATTTTCTACCCTCTCCCTCCTAAATAAATTGTCCCAATTACTGGAAATATTATAATAGAATTTAGGTAAAATATAATTAAAAAATAATTAATAAAATATATTAATAAAATTATTTATTATATAATAAAAATACGTATAAATTAATATTAAAATAATTTAATAAAAAAAATTATAATTATAAAATTTAAAATATGATTGAAATATATAATTATATTTTTTTAAAAAAAGTACAAATACCGACAAATATAAAAAATGTGAACAATTAATGTAGAACGAAAGAGTAATATACAATACTGAGATGAATTTAATTTTGTATATTTACTAAAATTTATAGTTTTATATTTATTTAAAAAAAAAATAAATCAACATTAAAATTTGATACTAGAAATTGGCGAGTTACTAGTGTCAATCCATATCAACGCTTATGGCAAGATCCTAGTTATACCGGACCTTTTCAACCAATAAAGACTAATATAGAACTACTTTCTATACAAGTTTTACCTTAAAGGGCCTAAATGATTAAGGATGTAATAATAATAATATTTTACTAATTAGTAAAATTATTTAAAAAATTTTAACATCTTTACCGTGTATGTTTGTAATTTAGGCAAAAACTAAATTATTTTGATATCGGTGTAAAATTACTTTTACAAAAATAATAAAAATAATACTTTCAGTCGAAGTAGTAATAATAATATGTTTGCAATGCCCATCCAATGATTTACTTCTATCCAAGTTGATCCTGATTCTAATATATGACGTGGGGATAAATTCGTAATTAAATTCGGCCGAAAATTTACCCAAAGTGCATAACATTGGACAAAACAAGACTTTTTAGAAAATAGCACAGATAACTGACTAGAAAACTGGATAGCTATCCCATAACATAAGCAAATCCAACTCCATGCATAACATTGCGCAAAACAAGATATTTTTTGGAAAAAAGACAATAGCACAGATAAATAGCCCCAAGGGAAACAATAATCACTAAACATACAAGTATTTATAGTGTAGCATCAAATTATACCTGAATAACCACCTCAGGCGGGCCACAGGCCAGAAAACTCCTACATTCCGGCAGACCACCAGGTGCGAGCAGGCGGGGGGGTACTAACCTTTAGTACATGAAAACATTGAAGCCGTTAAGGTCAAAAGTGAAAGACAAGCAATTGAAGCAAGTGTAGCAGGGGATTAATAGACAGGTCCAGCCATCCAGCTTGTAGTTCAAAAAGGAAGACACGCGCAAACGAAGCAACAGGGTAGAGAGGACTACATTACTACCCTCCCTGTCTCTCATCCCGGGGATGGAATCCGTTTTACTGTAAATGGCAAGAGCTGTTAGTAGAGGGTCGAGTCAGCACTCAGGACTAGCTTCCTTGTGTTTCAGGGAAAGATCAGCAAATTGTTGGTCGAGATGTCTGCTCTTGGCACGTTGATGGCCAGACGTAGCCACCTGTTGCACCCGCTGCAGTTGTTGCTGCTGATAGAGATTCCGTAGTCTCACTACTTCTCTCTCCAATACTTCATGCTCCACTACATGCACAATTCGAGTAAGGTTCCAAAGATTTTCATATTAATGAACTCTCAGCATATGTGTATATCTTAAGTGCGAATTTATGCATATGCAGCAGTGAAAGTGGTCTACGTTTGCAAGTAATTGGTACATATCAATGATAGAGCGATTCGAGGCACAAAGGAATCCTAAAAAAAGTAGTATCATCAATTATGAAAGCACAAAGGAATCCTAAAAAAAGTAGTATCATCAATTATGAAAGCAGCCCTTATATTATAGATATCATCTAACAAACACACACAAAATGACAGCTACGGAAACACTTATTTTAAAGCCAATTGAACACAGAAGTCACAATGTATCCAAAGGAATAAAGAGCTGATAAGATGAAAACTTACAATGCTTGATAAGTTGCTCCTGAGATAAGCTTTCTAGCCTATGTTTCAGTGCTTTATTTTCCATGCTCAGGATCATATTTTGCTGGTTAAGAAAATCAAACTCGGCAGAAACTCCAGACCCTTCTGCCTGCATCAGCATTTGCGATGAGTATGATTTTAAAAATTATATAAAGACTTATTGGGCATATCAAATCTTGCCTCTAGAGATTGGACATTTCTCTCAAGTGCAGCTATGTATTGCAGCTTCCGGACACGTGAACGTTGAGCGAATTTCCTGCATTGCCCAGAAAGGTTTTTTAAGTACAGAAAACTTCAAAGTACAGTTTAGTTAAATGGAGGTGCATAACATAATGAAAACTGAATAAGTTTTTATGAACAATGTGAGAATTAGCACAAATTTATTCATGTTAGGCAAACATTTATGCAAAACTTCAGGAAAATATAAGTCCCATAACGAATGTTCATACTACTCAATTACATGCCCTCAATTTGATGTCTAAATTCAAACAACCCCAAAGAATCATTCATGCAGTCGACAACATAAACTCAAAATAAATAAATAATTTGTAACATGAAGAAATTGAATAAATAAAAATATTAAAAAACCAGTAATTGCAAGTTTGGAAGCCGGTTGAGGTTAAAAGGCAGTAATTGCAAGGTCAAAACTTAGTTGAACTTTAAAAATATACGTAAATAATAAAGAAGAAGGTTCTCATACTGTTTCGCACGCTTTGTGTCTGCTTCCGATGCCAAACACTTTGCATGGGTATGATCTTTGTTCTCAAAGGAGCCTTTTGGATCTTGAGTCTCAGCCAATGAAGCTGGAATCCTATCAGCACCATGCGAGGTGCTCATCAATCCAGAGTTCAGAACATTGGCAGTGTCTCTAGGAGATGTAAGGCCCCAAGGAGGAGGAACTGAATTCACAGGTGTGTCTGTATGGTACGAACTTGGCCTTAAAACTTTATACATGTCGAACTCTTGAGATCCCCAGGAAGACATTGGTGTAATGCTGTTAGACTTTCTATTATCTGGGGCAACATAATTCCCAGGTGTGTCAATGTATGCAAAGGAGTCACTAGATGAGCGTCGATGAGCTCCCTTACGCACAGGGGTTTCTGGCTCATCTAGGAGTTCATCAAGCCAAGAAGGTTGCTCCTCTATAAGAAAACTCTCAGATGAAGTCCGCTGATGTGAATTTCCATCTCTTATCTTTGAAAGAGCTCTCGAACCAACTGCTGCTGAACTAGGTATATAATCGGAAAATGAAGGCGATACACTAGGAAATGGTATTTTTGGGGGCAGCAATGAATTCTTTCCATGGGACATCATATTTCTAAGGCAGTTGGTCCCTAGGAATTATTCCTGCAGAAAGAACAAGTTTCTGTAACATATAGACAATATAATATGAGCGGCGTCCGCGCAAGCTACAATAATTAAACAGCCGATAAAAGGCAAAACAAACCAAATATCATTTATCTAAACATGTATTCTATATTCCCAGTAATATGTTCGTGCTAAGAATTAGCAAACATAAAAAAATACCTAAAAGGGCCTAATCTAATCAAAACAAACGAGCCTAATTTAACACTCCCCTTGAAGCTGGATTATACAAGCTATACAATCCAAACTTGTTACATATGAACTCAAACTAAGATACTCGAAGGGCATCTAGTCGATATGCCGGGAAGTTCATCGGTTGAAGAGGACACATACTCAATGCCTCCTTCCTTCTTTTTGAAAAAGTTACAATCAATCTCAATTTGCTTTGTTCGTTCATAAAACACCGGATTTTAAGCAATGTCAATGTGCAGTGCTATCTGATTATCACCACAATTTCATCTTCGTCTCCCCACAGAACTAACTTGAGTTCTCAAGATAACTATTTCAGCTAAGGCTATGGAACAATACTTAGCTTCTGCACTTAAACAAGCAACCACATATGATTCCTTAACTTTTCTAAGTTATCAAATTAGCTCTAAAATATACAATAGATAATCTAATCCCTATCATCCTCATTGACGAAAATATCACCGATATAGACAACCGAATATAAGCATTGTCCACTAGGGTATGCTTATAGAATACCGTGTGACCTAACACACAGTAACATCCCAAATTCATGCATAAAAAGGCAGAATTGCCCAAATCAAGCAAGTAAAACTGTATCCATCCATAGACTGAGCGACGCAGAAGACAAACAAGACCGGACTCTCCCTGAACAACAAAAACCAAACGGTAGCTCGCCAGGACAGATCGCCTCGCCGATTGGCGAGGCCGGCATCCAGGCGTCGCTTTGGCAACGCCGGCGAGCCTCCCTACAGTGTGCCAAAAAAAACCCCAGCCCTAAACCCGTTTTGACTCACCCGTATTCTTAAACACTGATTCGCTTGTCAGAACGCGCTTTTTCTCTTTTGCTTCTGTTTACGTCGCCACCCTCCGACCTGCCGTCGGCCCACCCGCCGTCGCCGTCTAGGTAAGGATTATTTTGAGGACGTATTTGATGCGTGGAAGACGCAAGACGGATGGAGATGGGCAGTATTTTAAAGTTTTTTTCTTTTTTTAATGTATTTTATCCTTACATTTAACTTCTTTTTCTTTTTCTTTTTTTTTTTTTTTTTTGTTCTTTTTTTAACTTATAGTTACAGTTAACTTATTTTATTTTATTGATGTATTCCTAAGTTTATTGATTTTTTATTCATATAGTTTTTTTATGGTCTATTATAAATTTTAAAATATATTATAGGGTGTGTTCTTTAATAGTAGTATTTTTTGTTTAATGTATTTTTATTGTTAAATGCCACAATTTATAAGTAGTACTTTTTTCGTTTATAAACTAATATTTTACATTATTTGAAATATTTAAAAATTATTGTTCTTTTTTTATTTGTATATATAGAATTTAATTTTTTGTTTTTATTTTATTTATTTATTTTATTTTTATATACAAAATAAAAGGCATATTTGTTAATTTACAACAAAAATAACTAATTATCTAAAAAACTTATTAGAACATTAGGAAATAGAGTGAGAGTATTATAAATGATCTTTAGGGTGAATTTATTTATTTGTTTATTGTTTTTTAATTTTTTATTTTTAGTTGTTGAATGTGTGCATATTGATATTTTTTATAATATTATTTTTGTTTTTAATTTAAAAATATATATTTATTTTTTTAAAGTTTCAAATATAATAGTATTATAGTTACAGTGTGCAGTTAAAAGTAATTAAAGATAAATTTATTTTTATTTTTTTTATGTAAAGTAATAATATGATGTTAAAGTATAAGTAGATAACTAGTGTGTTCATCCGTGCATTGCACGGTTTGTGTAAATTAATAAATATTATTGTATGACAATTTTTTAAATTATACCTATCAAAGTATAAATATATAAACATATTCAATGAAAATTTGAATGTACTCTGTTGTTAATAATACACTATTTCTTTATTATTATATTTAAGATACATATAAATTTAAACGGTGAAAATTATGGTGTGTTTCTTTAGGGGGGTTTGGGGATATTTGCGTTTGGATTGGTTTTCATTTGAATTTTATGATGAGTTTGAATTTTGTTGTTTCTTCTGTGTTTGGGTTTGATTAGGGGTTGGGGAGTTTTAATGTGTATTGATTCGATGGATAAAGAATAAAATAAGATAAATGTGTATTAAATTTAATTGATAAAATTTATATTGTATGATTTGATTATAAATTTATATTATACCCAACATATATATATTTAAATTTTTATTTATTTATATTATAGAAAATTTTACTCTACAAAATGGCATATATATTATATATATTTTCCCCTATAATTATAATAAATATTAAATTATATTTTAATTTTTTAAAAAATAAAATAAATAAACTCTGCATCTTGTCGGCCAAACCGTAGACAACCCCAAACTTAGGGTTGAACAAACATACAGTAAAAATAAAGTAATATAGACTAATATATATATAACATATATATCTAATCTTGTAAATTTTTCTAATAAGATGATTCACAATAAAAAAAAATAATTTAAAAATATTTGTGTAATTATTTTAAGTCCATACTCATATTATTATCTTTTATATTCAAATTTTGCATCCAACATACTTAAAAATTTATATATGAAATATAAATATGATAGATAAAATTATTTTATATATCAATGTAAAATTTATATGCATTGATGTTGATATTGATTTTTTTTTCAATAGAATAAATTTATTTAATATTCATAAAATATATCAAATATAGTCAAATCTTTATATATATAAAGATTTGGCTTGGCCTTTGGAATTTGGTATATATATAGTCAAGATTGGGCCTTGGGGCTGTGAGGTTCGTGGGCTGGGCCCAATAATAAAAGTTCTAATTATTTTAAATTTTATTTTATTTGATTAATTAATTTTGATTATTTTAAATTTTAATCGGAAAATATAAAAAAAAAACGTTACAACAAATATTGGAACGTGTGGAGGTGGGTGTTGAGGTGGTTACAGTTTTAGTGGTCACGTGATTTAATCTTTCTTTCCTTTTAAATCAAAGAATACATCCAACAAAAACCTGAACGTGAATCAAAATTCTGCTCTCGACTCTCTGTTTTCCTTCTCTTTTAATTTCTCCTCCACAAACTTCTATCGTTTCTTGGTTCGGTTCGTTGTGGGATTTTAAATTCCTAATCAATTTGTTTTATCCTGGGAAGCAATCGGTGGCGAGCCGAATTTGCTTTAAGGAGATCGCGTGCAATGTGAAACTCGAATTTTCTTAATCAGATCTGTTATCTGATTTCGAATTGAAGCATCTCGATTTTCAATATTACAATTGTGGTAACAATCTTGAAGCAAATTCGCGTCGTGTGGAAATCTGAGATGGCTGATGAAATTCCCCATGTCCACAATCAAATCGCGGCTGCCCAGATCGTACCTGAAGATAAAGCGATGATCGACGCGGTGAACGATCCTGACAGAAATCTGAACGATCTAAATGATAACGTTCAGAATGATGCGGACGGAGACGAGAATGAGGAGGTGAATTCCAGCGGGTCTCACATTCTCAATCCTATTGTTCCGTTATCTCAACCACCCCGCACAACCGGTGAAGCCGATGAAATCGCTGCTGCCAGGCGTGAAGCGCGCAAGGCGGCCAGGAGGGCTGCTGCCGAAAAGGTTGCGAAGGCAGCGTACGAACAGGCCTTCAAGGCCGCAATGGAGGGGGCGCAGCCTACTGCTGCGACCTCCAATCAGCCTGTTGCTGGACTACAGAAACGGCATCCTGTTGATGCCTGACTGAAACAGCCTACTGTTGTTCTGCCTCGTCCGCAGCGAATGGCTGTAGGACTTGCGCAAAGTCTCATTGTGTCTGCCGGACAACAATTAGACGGTTTGGTGGGTATATAGTCTGTTGCTGTTACGGACCATGCAACTTTCAGGCAGCCTGTTGCTGTGGCAACCAATAAGCCAGAGAAATTCAACGGGCAGAATTTTAAAACATGGCAACAGAAGATGTTGTTTTATCTGACCACGCTAAATCTGGAAGATTGGCTGACAGAGGATGCACCTGTTGTGCCTGAAGGATCCTCGGAAGAACAAAAAGTACAAATTCTGAAGATTTGGAACCGTTCAGACTTTATGTGCAAAAATTATGTACTGAACGGCCTAAGTGACTCCCTGTACGGTGTCTACCGGCATGCGTTAACGGCTAAGCAGCTGTGGGAGATGCTGGAGAAAAAGTACATAACCGAGGATGCTGGTGCAAAGAAATTTATCATCGGTCGGTTTCTGGATTTCAAAATGGTCGATGGAAAAAGCGTTACGAAACAGCTTGATGCGTTTCAGCTGATTTTGCATGAGATCCAGGCCGAGGGGATGGAGCTGAGTGAAGCTTTCCAAGTGGCAACGATGATTGAAAAATTACCACCTAGCTCGGGTGATTTCAAAATTTACTTGAAACACAAACAAAAGAAAATGGATATGGCGAGACTGATTAATCGTCTCCAAACTGAAGAGGAGCACAGGTCGAACCTGGCAAGCAGGGGACATATGATACTCGGCAGCAAGGCCAATGTAGTCGAGCATAAAGGCCAAGACTCTTGTTTCAAGACAGCTATGAGGAACAATGAGCAGCCAGGAAAGAACTGGAAGCCAACGGACAAGGGAAAAGAGAAGTTGAAGCCATCTGGCGGCGTTGAAAAGGCTAAGAGTACCTTCAAAGGTACATGTTTTAATTGCGGAAAGGTCGGACATCGTTCGATAGACTGCAAGGCGCCGAAAAGTAAGAAAGAGACGAATCAAGCACACGTCGTTACTAAAGATGAAGAGCCACTCGACCTGACATGTGTTGACTCTGAGGCAAATCTGGTGGGATCAAACAAGAAACAATGGTGGCTTGACACAGGAGCAACTCGTCATATTTGCATGGATAAGAATCAGTTCTCCTCATTTGAGTGTGTCGAAGGAGAAACGATGTACATAGGGAATGCTGCTCCTGCAGAAGTCAAGGGAAGAGGAAAGGTGCTTCTGAAGATGACATCTGGAAGAGTCGTGACGCTGACTAATATCCTCTACGTGCCAGTGATGATGAAGAACTTAGTCTCGGGGACATTTCTAATGAAACACAACTTTAATATTAATATGAATGGTGATAATTTTGTTTTGCGTAAATCAAGAGTGTACGTGGGTAAAGGTTATGTAGATGATGGACTTTTGAAATGTTGTATTATGACAGTAATTGAAAATAATAATAATAATAAGTCTGTTGCTTATATTGTTGAGTTCTCTACTTTATGGCATAGTCGATTGGGTCATGCTAATTATGATTCAATTCGTTGATTAATTAACCTGAACCACATTCCGAAATTTGAATTAAATAAACATAAATGTGAAATTTGTGTTGAAGCAAAACAAACTCGATCGTCTTTCCAAATTATTCATCGTGAAATTGAACCACTCGAATTGATTGATAGCGATGTATGCGATTTGAAAATTGTACAAACACGTGGTGGTAATAAATATTTTATTACATTTATTGACGATTGTACAAAGTATTGTTATGTGTATTTACTCAAAAGCAAAGACGAGGCATTAAGTAAATTCATTTTGTATAAAAATGAAATGGAAAATCAACTTAACAAACGAATTAAACGAATTCGAAGTGATAGAGGTGGAGAATATGAAACCCCGATCGGTGAATTTTGTGCACAAAATGGAATAATTCACGAAGTAACTCCACCTTATTCACCTCAATCAAACAGCGTTGCTGAACGCAAAAATTGCACATTAGAGGAAATGATGAATGCGATGTTGTTAAGTTGTGGACTACTTCAAAACATGTGGGGGGAGGCTATTTTAAGCACTAATTATCTGCTTAACTTAATACCTCGGAAAAGGATGGAGAAGACCCCTTATGAGCTTTGGAAAGGTCGAAAACCATCTTACAAACACCTTCGAGTGTGGGGGTGTCTAGCTAAGATAGTGGTGTCACCTCCCAAACGTGTGAGAATCGGTCCCAACAGTGGACTGTATTTTCATAGGATATGC